GAATTTGCAGGTGAAGCATTCACAAAGCCTCTGTGTAACCACAATACACACCTGCAGAAGATGGGACTGTTCTCATTGCTAGTTGCACCAGTAAGGCAGGTTTCAGCTCTGATGTATTGTGTGTTTGCTGCTGTTTTATTTGGGAGGGGCAGGAGAGATGTCCAATATGCAGAGATCCGCAACATTAATTTCATAAACAAGAGCCCTGTCGTGTTCAAGGCCCTGGTCCTTTTGATATTAGACTATCAAATGAAGAGTGCAGGATGTTTTTTGAGAGTGAAAAGAGTATAAGCCAAATAAAAGTGCCATCCTGTCTGTCACTGAGGGCCAGTCCCACAGGTACACAGTGATAAAATTTGTGCCTCCAATAACATAAAGATACTTTAAAGTATATATTGAGGCTCATGCTTTTGTTCCTTAATTTAAGTTTACATTTTACTGCAGGAGTTTCACATGTCACAACATATTTATAATCTATGGTATTGCTTTTTTTTTTTTTTACTCAAGTCAAATATCTTCCATCACTGCAGGTACACAGTCACAGTGTAAGTATTTACAGTGCGGTATGCAGTATTATTATCATTTTTCATCAATGAAGTAATTTGGTGCCATATTGCATAGTAAGAACATGTCAATGGAGTAGAAGCAGATTCCAAGCAATTTATAAGCAAAGGCATTTATGACAGAGTGTTGATAGGTAGTAAATGTCATTCAGACAAATACAACTTAATAAACAGTTAATATTTGAATTTTTGTCAGATGTGGTCGAGTGAATGAGCAAAGAGCAATGGCAAACTATGTAGCTATGATGAAAGATCACCATGAAGACTTTCAGGTCCATCAGCTGAATATAATGCTGTCTAATTTCCTGTTGCCAGCAGGTGGCGCTATGGCTTTGAGTGTTCAGGGTGGAACTCTTATTATCAGAATCAAATTTGGTACAGATGTGAGCATGTACACTGTAGTTATTACAACTTCCTGTTTCATGGCCAATCATGAATTTTCAATGACAAACCACTGGCAAGCTAGTCAACTTTTGTTGGTGGTTAATGAAACTTTTAATCGTCAATGTGTTTAGATTGCCCTGCAAAAATCTGAAGTTAATCGGACTAATTCTCTAGGAGGAGTTTGTTAAAGTACGGTAAATTGGCAAAAATTACCATTAAATTAAAAGTTATAACAACTATAGTTATAGTAGGCTATAGTAGTATAAAAGTATTTGTGAGTTCAAAAAGTATAAGTAATAGTAGCTGTAATAGTTGAGAAGTAGAAGTAGTGATCAATACAATACAGTACGGATGGTAGATTATTAAAATTACCATTTTAGTATAATTGGGATTAGTATTATTATTCCTACTAATACATATTTATAAATAGCCTAGTAGTAATAGCTTATGTAAAAACACAGCAAAAATATTTAACAAGCCATTTAATTAGAATTTCCAATTTACTTTTTAGGACATTAAACAACTGCTCTCACCTCCAACTAAATATTTATTTTCAGGGTTTTCCCTGACAGACAAACAGACCTCCTCTTCACCACAATCAAGGATGTGACTTCTCTTCATACGTCACATTGTGCCAAGAATGACATGGGAAGAGAGTTTTTAAGTGCTCTACTCCCTGTTGGCACCTACAGTCCCAATTACACAATCGTTCACCTTGCTTGCAAACCTCAAGGAGTTGAGGTTCGTATAGTCTTGACACTCAGGGCCCCTGTCCACCAAAGCGTTTTTTTCTGAAACCAGCGTCTGTTTTCAATTCATTGCAATGGGAGCACCGCGTTTTTCCAAGCTGGTAAAAACGCCAGGAGCGTGACGGAAATTATGGATCATAGCAACCACAGCGTCTCAAAAACGCACCCTAGCGCACCCAGCTAGGCGTTTTCAGAACAGCAGGTGGCGTTTTCAGCTGACAAAAAAGGCTTTGGTGGACACGGGCCCTCAGTCCCTTAGATCCTGCATATTAAAGCATATTCCACTTGTTTGGATGCAGTTTTTCTTGTGAATGTGGAGGTAAAAACTTTGGTTATCATTTGTTAGATTGAAAAATACGATTTTTCTACCAACTCCACTATGTTGCTGTTCTTCTACTAGATGAAGGATTTTCTGGATAAGAGAGCATCTGTAAAAGAAAAAATAATGAACCAACTGACAATTAATTTCCTCTTTATTGACCATTTAAAAGAGGTTTAGTTATTGTCTTATTTTATTTGAAAGGGACAGTGCATATTGAAAATTGCAAAAAAAAAGGCTACTTTTCATCTGCAGTCGTATTTAAACAGTACTGTAGTACTTTTTATAGAAAGTATACAAAGGGATAAATTACAGCACATAAGCTGTAAAGGGGACTCATCTGGACCACATATGGAAATGGCCCAATTCCAAACTGGAAAAGATCAGTTTCCATGTGACTTGGCCTGTTCACACTGTCATAAAAAGATCAGACCTGAGTCACATATGAGCAAAACAATTGGATTTGGGTCACTTTGGCCTGCAGTCTGAACATAGCTTTAGTTTTAAGCCTGTTGTTCGCCAGACAAAGTTATCAGCCCTGTTAAAATGACAGTTAAGGTGAATTACAGATGCACCTAGCTAAGCAAGCTAACTAGCTCCACACACGGCCGTTCAAATATCACGTCTGGTGACAAGGTCATAGGTAACAAATAGGGCCTATAAGACACAGTTTACTCATGGATTTGTGATCGTAAAGTCACAGATACGACCCAGCCTATTAATTTTTTTTTTTGCAGTGGAAAATGCGCCTAGGTTCAAACTGACTGCAAAGTTGTAGACGTCTATTTAAGATGAATAAAATCTTTTCATTTCACATTTAGTGAAATGATGATGTCAAAACACATTCAGACTATCAGCAGCTAATAATGAAAAACTTTTATTTGTTTCAGCTGCACCATGGTCATCCTCACTCAGAAATATTCACATCATCTCCAACATGATCACAACGATAGGGGAGAGCGGGGTATGTTGTCTAAGTGGGACAACCTCTTTCTTTGAACTTTAAAATCAAAAGTTCTCTGGAGTGCAAATAGATCGATGGTAGTTGAATGTAATGCTGCAATAACTTGCTTAAATGTATAACTTTTTAACTAAGCAGATGTGGTGTTTAAACACATCAGACGTGTTTAGTGTCACAGTTCTGGCAGACATAAATATTCTGACCTGAGGTGCAAACATCGCAGGCCCATTTGTTGCATTTCACACACTGAAACCACGTTTTCTTCGGAATACTGTATGAAAATGGCTCCACACAGATGAGGCTGAAAGAGATGTCAGGAGCTTACGTCAAAATCCTTAGCTGTACTTCTGATTGATTTGTTCTTCATCTTCACCTGCCTGACTGCCGTTAACATTATGTCAGGTGGTGGGCTGCCATTCTCTGTCTTCTGTTGATAATTTTCTTCCTTCCTTCAAAGACACATTCCTCCTTGCAATTACAAATTAATAACAAGCTTATTTGTCTGTTACCCTTGTTGCCTAACTAAATTAATAACTGGATCATGTAGTGTGTGTGTGTGTGTGTGTTTGTATCTACTAACACACTACATGCCTACGGTATAAGACTGTATACTCTGTCATGAATTCAGTCTTGTCCAGGCACATGGCTGCTGCTGTAAACTACAGAGTATAATATTATATTTATAGTATAATTTAATACAAGTGTCAGAGGTGATTACACAATTTCACATAGTTTTTCGAGCTGTGTTTATTTGTACTGAAATACTGAAACAAACTGACGTGTGCTAATGTTGGCTAAATCTCAAGGTTAGCTTAACATAGCACTTCAGCTGAAGTATCAAAAGACACGTTATTGTCTCCTCTACTATGTGCAAAGTTATCATTTTGAACATTCATGCCTCATAAGGTTGGAATACATAAAATGTAAAGTGCAAATGTTTTACTTTTGAGGCAAAATAATAATAAAATTGTGCTCAGAGTGACATTGACCACATGTGAACAGGAAGTTGAACATAGAAAAAAATGTCACACGAAAGGGCTATTTGATTTTTGACATAGAGCCTCTAATGTTGGAGTTATGAGCAATGTGACAACTTACCCCGCTCTCCCCTATGCTCCAATCAGTGTGACTACAACATGAAAGATTACTGTTGTTGGATCAGTTTTATACAGATTAGTTTAAACAGTGATCACTGCTGTGATAACTGCAGTAGGCCTAGCTCAGCTAAGTTTTGCCAACCTCACAGCTGCCTTAATGTCCACAGAGTCCCAAAGTTATAAAGAAGGATAGTTTATAGATTTTATTGTGTTCTGAGGATAAATCCTCTCTGTCCTTACATCAGTGACAGATAGATTATAAAAGCGGTTATGAAGGTCAAGTTTGGATAAAAAACTAACAGCCTATCTAACCGTGATTTCGATGTTTCTAAAGATGTAAATGCTAAATTGTATTGATCAAAGCATGCTTTGATCTCGACGGCCAATAAACGACGAAATGAAACGGTGTGTCAGACAGCCGCTTCAGACTCCGCAGGAGGGGAGGACTCAGAGAGAAACTGACTATCCAACTTTCTGTGACCCCAACTGGTTCGCAGGCTAAGTTGCAGAAGTTACTGATTTATGGTTTATCTGATCTCGGTCTCTGAAACAGAAAACCCAGTTTTCCCCATCTTAGGCTGAACATAGGCCAACTGAGAGTTTTCACTAATCCTGCTTAGCATGGGTAGACTGCAATTGGTTATTTGTACGCACATTGATGGGAACGGGTTGAATGTTGAGTCAAAGGAACCAGATGGATGCTGATAATTTTAAACATTGGCCTACAAAATATTTGCTGAGTGAACATCGTGAGTCATAGAAACAGCACAAAGCAATAGGCTAATAAGATAAAAAACAAATAGACCATGAAACACCCCTTCCAGTGGGCTATAGATTAGACATAAAGGACAATAAAAAGCGTGATTGTTTAAATACACTGGGTTACAACAGTCTCTTTTTCTCACGCCTAGACAACCGTCATCGCCAGGCTGAGCCAATCAGAGTAGGACATTGCAAATAGGATTTGCAGATTCTGGGACTGGGATAGATGATGATCGCCAAACTTTCTCTGTAAAAGACCATCTCTGCTGTAGCCTGTGTCTCCGACTTGCCATAGCAACTAATCTTCATCCCTGCGGCTGCAGCATCTTCTCCCTAAAGTCACCAAAGAAACACACTCCTTCTCTGCGATAAACCGGGTGAGTTCATATAACTGGCCTCTCTATCACTACGAGAGTATAATTTTACCACCGTTTTTACACCTGCTGCTCGGTCATTTGCTCTGTCTGTTTCATACTTTCTCTGCCACGCTCACTTTCTGCATTCATGTTCCTTCACGGTGGCGTCATTGTGTTTGTAGTTAACGTCTTTATCCTACCATTAGTAATCAATGTTTAAATATAAAGTCGTTGCCTTTGTAACTTGCTTTCAGTTACTTCTGATCCGATTTTTCTTGGCTTTAGATCCGTATGTTTTTCCTGTCTCCAAGTGCTTGCTCATGGTAGGAAATTGCTCTAGCCTATATGTCCAATGAGATAACCTCTGTTATAAATTGGCGCTATAGGCTAAATAAAATAAGATTGAACTGAATTAAAAATAACAAGCTGGAACCAACCGGAAACAGACTCATTTATTAGCAGAAAGCGGCCGTAGATGGAAGAAGTCTAAGATGAGAAACTGGTGGCATTTAATTTATAACCTGTTGACCAGTGCTTAATTTAAGTATCAAGTAAGGTGCTCCGGCACCTCTGAGTTTAAGCCTTTTGTGCTCTGTACAAATAAAATCCACGATTTCATCCAGCCTAATGGGGTAATTGATTTTCTTACTTGATTTGGTAGCAATAATGGTTTCTCTTCGCCCTTCAAAACAACTATGTGCAGGTAGGCTACGCCATGCGTTTTAAATAGCATATTAATTAATTATTTTCGGCAGCGGCATATTTCAAATCAAGCACTGCCTGTAACCTATTTTACCTGAATTCCTTGTGATGTGAAAGTATCACCTGTGTGATTATGAAGGTATTTTTGTGTCTTTTTAATGCAAGCAAAAAAAATAATATTTTGAGAGAATATTGATGGCACTTCAATCAAAAATCAAGTTCCTAATGAAAAATAAACAGGCCTTTTTTGTGTCACAAAAAGTTTTAATTGCTATTATGTAATATTATTTGATTGCAAGTCAAAAAGTTTTGCTTGTGAGCCAGAAAGTTTTGCATGTTAAACCGTTTTGCAAGTTAAATAGTTTTGTAAGTCAAAAGGTTTTCCGCCACTCTAAGAAAACGGAGCATATGCGTAAAATGCTATATAATGTTTATATTATGTAACCATTTGGTTTGAGTTAACAGGTGAATAGCAGCATGAAAGTGTTCTCATATTAGGCTCTGTCACTTTAAGAGGGTTACCTCTGACCCTGAGGTGTGACCAGCTGTGATGTTTATTTAAGGAGAGGCCTCCTATTCTTACATGTAGATGGCAATCACATTTGTAAAATTGTGACTGGTTAAGGGGCGGGACTAACAGGCATTGCAGAGCAGAGTACACCGGTGTTGTGCCGAATGTGTGTGTTTTCTGCGGAGGCAGCAACAAGCTGCAGAAGAAAGAAAAGTCTAATTTAATTAATGTACAGAGACAGTTAGTAGCCTGGCTAGTTTATAATAAGTTTGTCACACTGCTACACAGTTTTGTGTATTGTACTGTGTGTGAGAGTTAATAGTCTGCAGATAGCAACAGGTTAGCACCATCGCTAACATCAAGTTAACGTCGTATGAACACTGGAGCTCCTGACAGCGTGGTGTGTGACCAGCTGTTAAAATTATGCTTCGAGGGGGAGACCGTCCTGTGCCTGTTTTCATCTTCATCTTTCTGAGAGGATTGCAAAACATGAGAACAGCGGGAGTCATCTGGACGATGCTGTGAAACTGGGCTCAATGTTACTTTCGCCCAACAGGCGCTCCAGTGAGTAGCACAACAAACACTGTGGGGCCACGACGAGTCGGCGGGCTGTCTGAAAAACTTCAGTCACCCAGAAGTTTGCCCAGAGGAAAAAACGCCGGGCCGCCTTTCTCCTCAGGTGAGGCCTCAGCTCTGGTGAGTGAAAGCATCTTTTATCATCCTGACTCTGCTGCTGGTCCCTGCATGGGCAAATTGTTGTGCTGGATTGGTTGAGACCAGGCTACGGATTACAGTTGTTGTCATGATGTTGTTGTCATATCGCCACTTTCATACTGCCTTATTATTCGGGATTATTACGCCAATATCCTGTATCGCTGCACTGTATGAAAGGTACGGCTCTGGGAATGGGATATACAGTGGGTACGGAAAGTATTCAGACCCCTTTAAATTTTTCACTCTTTGTTTCATTGCAGCCATTTTCCAAAAATCCAAAAAGTTCATTTTATTTCTCAGTAATGTACACTCAGCACCCCATCTTGACAGAAAAAAAACAGAAATGTAGAAATTTTTGCAAATTTATTAAAAAAGAAAAACTGAAATATCACATGGTCATAAGTATTCAGACCCTTTGCCGTGACACTCATATTTAACTCAGGTGCTGTCTATTTCTTCTGATCATCCTTGAGATGGTTCTACACCTTCATTTGAGTCCAGCTGTGTTTGATTATACTGATTGGACTTGATTAGGAAAGCCACACACCTGTCTATATAAGACCTTACAGCTCACAGTGCATGTCAGAGCAAATGAGAATCATGAGGTCAAAGGAACTGCCTGAAGAGCTCAGAGACAGAATTGTGGCAAGGCACAGATCTGGCCAAGGTTACAGAAAAATTTCTGCTGCACTTAAGGTTCCTAAGAGCACAGTGGCCTCCATAATCCTCAAATGAAAGACGTTTGGGACGACCAGAACCCTTCCTAGAGCTGGCCGTCCGGCCAAACTGAGCTATCGGGGGAGAAGAGCCTTGGTGAGAGAGGTAAAGAAGAACCCAAAGGTCACTGTGGCTGAGCTCCAGAGATGCAGTCGGGAGATGGGAGAAAGTTGTAGTAAGTCAACCATCACTGCAGCAATCCACCAGTCGGGGCTTTATGGCAGAGTGGCCCGACGGAAGCCTCTCCTCAGTGCAAGACACATGAAAGCCCGCATGGAGTTTGCTAAAAAACACCTGAAGGACTCCAAGATGGTGATAAATAAGATCCTCTGGTCTGATGAGACCAAGATAGAACTTTTTGGCCTTAATTCTAAGCGGTATGTGTGGAGAAAACCAGGCACTGCTCATCACCTGTCCAATACAGTCTCAACAGTGAAGCATGGTGGTGGCAGCATCATGCTGTGGGGGTGTTTTTCAGCTGCAGGGACAGGACGACTGGTTGCAATCGAGGGAAAGATGAATGCGGCCAAGTACAGGGATATCCTGGACGAAAACCTTTTCCAGAGTGCTCTGGACCTCAGACTGGGCCGAAGGTTTACCTTCCAACAAGACAATGACCCTAAGCACACCGCTAAAATAACGAAGGAGTGGCTTCACAACAACTCCGTGGCTGTTCTTGACTGGCCCAGCCAGAGCCCTGACTTAAACCCAATTGAGCATCTCTGGAGAGACCTGAAAATGGCTGTCCACCAACGTTTACCATCCAACCTGACAGAACTGGAGAGGATCTGCAAGGAGGAATGGCAGAGGATACCCAAATCCAGATGTGAAAAACTTGTTGCATCTTTCCCAAAACGACTCATGGCTGTATTAGATCAAAAGGGTGCTTCTACTAAATACTGAGCAAAGGGTCTGAATACTTATGACCATGTGATATTTCAGTTTTTCTTTTTTAATAAATTTGCAAAAATTTCTACATTTCTGTTTTTTTCTGTCAAGATGGGGTGCTGAGTGTACATTACTGAGAAATAAAATGAACTTTTTTGATTTTTGGAAAATGGCTGCAATGAAACAAAGAGTGAAAATTTTAAAGGGGTCTGAATACTTTCCGTACCCACTGTATATTGGCCGACATTCTTTCCGTTTTGATTGCAGGATCTCTGTGGAAAGCGGCTATAGAAAGGCTCTGGATCCCTAAAACCTTCTGTCTGTGCGCATCGTTGACTTCACTGGTGTTGAGCTTACTGCTTTTTGCTTATGGCCTTGTAGGCTCATTTGTTTTGAGCTTGGTTGTATCTGCTTAAATATTGCATTCTTAATCTATGTTTGTGACAGTGGTACTGTAACTTGTGTCAATGCACTCCTCTCGCTCTCTCATGTTCAGTGTTTTGTGGAGCCATGAATAATGATTGACATGTTAAAAAACAAAGAAGCAAGAGAAAGTATTGTAGTTTTACTGGTATCTATGTTTTAAAATAGTTAGTGCCCCACCACCATATTTACATATAAATATGACACTGGTCAAATCGGTTGTTAAAAAGTGGGATATTACAAGAATAACTATCCTAGTTGTTCAACATGAATAGCACCAAACACACAACACAGCCTACACAACTGTATAAAGACACATGTTTCAATTTGAATTTAAAGAAAAATATTTATGCTCCATGATGTCTGTAATCTTGAGTAGTCTTGTTCCCAGTAAATGTTTTGTTCCTCCCCGTCAATGCACTCCTACAAATAAAAGCTGTATTTGTCTTTTTAAGGAAAAGGTTAACTTTCCTATTTAAAGAACAATTAATTGCCTAACACATACGATAACACATCAAGCAGGACTAAAAACAAACAAACAGGACTAGTCTATGGAAAACAATTTTAACTGTAAAATAAGAAACCAAAGTATATCAGTCTGTGATTCTTTAACTCATATTTTTGTGCAGTATTCAACTAGTCTATATACTGCATAATAGAATTCCTGAAATTCAATTATGGCTTTTGGTTTAGTGTGCCACCCCAGGATTTTCAGTGGCCCCATCTGGCCACCCCTGGAAAAATATTCTGGGGGCGCCCCTGAGTGAGAGAGTTTGGCAAGTAGAAAAGTTTGCGAGTCAAAAATGATCAAAATAAGAGATTCTATTGGTGAGTTTGACGGACCAATCATGAGTTTGCATTTACCGGCATGGCATGATGTAATGATTATTTATATTCACCGTTGGCAAGGTCACAGAGTCTATAGCTGTCTCCTTTTTTAGAATGACATGTATAACAGTTAGCTAACGTTAGCCGTCTTAACATGAAGCTGTGCTTTTGACATGACTATAGCTAGGTTAAGGTTAGCGACTCATGTTTAACACATTGTGCATGATATCCAGCAAAACTAGTTTTCTGTGACTGTGGTAACTGAAGTTTATGGTCACAGCATAAACAAGACTTTAGACCTCTGAGATTATATTGGAAATATAGACTGTTATCTAGACATTGAGGTGTTACTGTGTTGTTACGTTTCCAGAGAGCTGCAGGGAGTTTAGGAAGCATCTTCACCCTGCTGGATGTCTCTTGGGTTGTAGGGAAAGTTATGTAAAGCTAGATTAGCTTAGAGATATCAGGTGTGTGACAGGCGCTTCTTATTTTGTGTCTGCGCTCTCCGGCTGCACATATTTCTAACCTGTCGTCTGTCTCTCATGTAGGACATGTAATGTCCCTTCTTAATCTACTTCTACCTGGGGCCCAATGCGCTACAGCATATGGAAATCCCACCTTCCATCGTGGCTGTCTCTCTTCCCTGACAGCACCTGCTGAACCATTGTTTTTATTTTTACTCCACAACACCTTATCCCACAGTAAATTAAAATTTTAAATTATGACAGCTTCCTATCCATAGGTTCCATTATTATGATTACTTGTAGTGGGACAACAGTGTGGATTTGTGCATTTTATATTGAATAAATTTGGAGCTACTCCAAATTCCTCTTTTCCTCTCCCAGAGAGGAGCAGGGGGGTTAAAGATCAACTTTCAACACACTGCTGAAGAGACCTCAACGGAAGGGGGGTGGAAAGGTTATTCATGAGCAGTTGATCGTAAAACTGGCACCTTTTGATTACAGCCTGATAACGCGGCACCTGACTGTTAAACTGACAAAAGGGACATTAACCAGAGATTACAAACAGCCTATCAGAACTCTCCTTGGAGGGGGGCAGGAAATCCTAAACTGGCCCCTCCACACATGTAACCATGGCAACTGACCTTGCTTTGTGTTTCATTACCCCATCAAAGGACAGCCGAACTTTAAATAAACAAAGACTGCAGTCTCCAAAGACCCAAAGCATTAACTGTTTAATTAAATCTTTTAGTTACTTGATTACGTTTGCCTCTATTTGAGTAGTTATGTTACCATGTCAATCAAACCCACCAATAGAATCTCTTATTTTGACCATTTTTGACTTGCAAACCTTTTCAACTTGCAAAACTCTCTCACTTGCAAAACGGTTTAACCTGTAAAACTTTCTGACTGAAAAGGAAAACTTTTTGACTTGCAATCAAATAATATGACATAATAGCAATTAAAACTTTTTGTGACACAAAAAAGGCCTGTTTATTTTTAATTACAAACTTGATTTTTGATTGCAGTGCCATAAATATGCTCTCAAAATATTTTTTTTGCTTGCATTAAAAAAACCTTCAACCAAAAAAAACCATCAAAAATACCTTCATATGTGATCACCCTGTGTTTCTGAAAAGGCTCCTCTGCATCAACATCGACTTTTTTTGGTAGGAGACAAGCAAACCAGGCAGCTATACAATACTGGATTAAGACTTTCAGTCCTCCTTTAGCTACTCTAAGTCCTCTTTCAGTTTTCCTCCGTTCTGCTGTAGTTTCTCCTCCCTACAGCAGGTGTCTGATTTATGGGCCTATTCCTCAACTTCCTTTTTGAAGTTGATAAGAGCTATTCTTCACTCTTTTTTTGTAAGATAATAATAAACTTTATGCAGCACTTTGCTTAACAAGGTTAAAAAGTGCTTTACAGAAATAAATAAATAAAAACACAGTGATCATAAAACACCAGAAGATAAAGTTAAAATGTGTCTCTGCTGTGATGTAAATATTTGCATATGTGTGTGTTACAGGTAAATGATGGTGTGTGTGTTAGTTCCTCTCGTCTTGACTGTCCTCCTGACTGAGACGTCTGCTTCACTGTCATCTTCAGGTAAGAAAAACAGTAAGATGGAGATTCCTGTCAGTCACATTAAAATAATAATGACATTTCTTATCTCCACAGTGGGTTTGTACTGAATAAATATGTAATTCAAATGGCCTTTTCTAACTTAATAATTAAATAACGTGTCAGCAGGGACGGAGCAGGTCTTTTCATGCCCACCTCGGTGGCTCCTGTTTGGTCAGAGATGCTTCGCTTTCTACCCTGTGTGGAGCTCCTGGAGCACTGCCGATGTAAACTGAAGATACAATACATTTAAGTTTATAAAACAGAAGATTCAGTATTACATGGCTTTGGTGTGGTGTAATGTGTGTGTGTGTGTGTGTGTGTGTGTGTGTGTGTGTGTGTGTGTGTGTGTGTGTGTGTGTGTGTGTGTGTGTGTGTGTGTGTGTGTTAGTTATTGTGCTCTCAGGCAGCTGGTAAACTGGCGTCGCTTCACACACCAGAGGAGAGACAGTTTGTCCGTCTGCTAGCAAACACACACACACCTGTGTGGCTGGGTGGATACCAGGAACAGCAGGTATGGTGTCTGTGTCAGCGTGCTGTGCTCTTGTTCTTATATCAGGACTTTATTTAAAAACACCTCTCCAGTGGAGGAGAAAGTACTTTGATGCTTTATTAAAGTAAAACTCCCAAGTCCTGCATTGAAAATGTTACTTAAAGTGGCTATATGTAGTTTTAAGCGGCCTCAAGCGGTGCGGTTTCAGATTGCAACAACTATCTTCCAAAGTGCGTTAGCATGTTAGTTAGTGACTGAGACGGTCAGACTGCAGGTCAAAGTTATCCAAATCTGATATTTTTTCACATATGTGACTCAGATCTGATTTAGCAGTGTGAACATCTAAAGTCACAAATACTCTGATATTTTCCAGTTTTGATTTTATATGTGGTCCAAATCAGATATAGGTCAGATATTTTGTGATGCGACTGTCTGGAGGTCTGAAGTCTAGCTGGAGCCGTGGTGAACATAAAAACTCCACAATTAAAAAATTAGTTCTCTTTCTGCTCACAAACTCAATTTCTTCCTCCTGAAATCAACTTAAAAATAAAACCATAGACACTAACCATTGTGCCCTTCATGTTTACTTACTGATGTAGTATTATTCTTCTGCGCATGCAGGTCACTTTTAGCCTGTCCCAGTTCACACTAAGTCTAATATGAGCCACATTTAAAAAAAAATTATGTGAACAATTAATAAAAAGAATTGGATCAAGTCAATAAATTGGAAATGAGATTTAAGGCCTTAAGTGTGAAAACAAAACTTAAAGTAGTGGTTCTTTTTGGCTTTTGCCCTCTCCTTTATTGAGTTATATACCTTTTTTGTGCATTTAATAGGTTTACAAGGGGAAAAAGTCCAAAGTCCAGCCCAAAGGGAGTTCCCATCTCCCGCAGACAGCACTGCTCTGAACTGCCTGAAAAGAGCTCGTTTGTAGTCCAGCCGTTTCCCTTTCATCCCTGTGACAACACATGGATGAAAGCAAAATGCGCGTCATATAACGCTCGGCAAGCGGCTACTCCGACACACCCTCAAAAACACCGGTGGAAAAACACTGCGCTGCAGCAAACACCTCTCCTCTCCCTTCCAAACACTAGCTACCCTCCAGACACTCAATGGACATAAAGATGTTGCTGTGATGTAGAGATAGAGCTTATTTAAAACTTGGATGAAAGATACATTTGTAACAGATTAATAACTCACCACTCTGAAACTCTTGCTCCAGTCCATTTCGCCAAACTAATAAGGGGAACATATAGCTGAACTGAAGCAGTGTTTACCGGCTTCTCAGGGTCCGCCCTACTCTGCTTCTGATTGGCTAGTAGTCCTTAACTAGGAATTGCACATGTGGTACTCCCAACAAAGATTATGTAGCGGTAAGATGCATCACTAGTAGAGGAGCTGCAGCAATGTGCAGTATGACAAAAACTATGGTGTTTTTTGAAAATGAAACCACGTAAACCTGTTCTTGGACAAATCCTAAATAAATTGATGAACCTGAAAATTTGCATAATATGACCTCTTTAACAGATAATTACATTTATATTAAATTAGTGTAACATAAAAAAGTAAAAAAAAAAATAAAACTATATAGACCAGGGGGGGTTCTTAACCTTTCTGTCATTCCGACCCCTTTTTGAAGTTGAAAATATTTTGCGACTCCCACCATCAGACAGAATGCATTTTTTGCGGTGAGAGGCGCATTTTTTAAAATTGTATTACTATTACTATCTATTACTTATCAGTGAGCCTCCTGTTTATGTGCCCTGTGAGCCTCACGTTTTGGCCGCATGCTGCGCCTTGCGTTTTCAAAAGAGCGCTCTGAACACACAGAGTCGAAAAAAATCATCTCTGGACAGAAAAGTGCCCGACCTTATTTGCGTTTTTTTTCCATTGTCCAATCTAATGAATGGAGAGACGGGTACTCAGTTTTGCTAACCAAAGTTTACAGTTGTTTGAATTGTCCGGAGACTGCAACAAACTGTTCCAGAGACATCTTAAAGTAAGCCTTAAACCGACCATCAGTAAGACGAAGCACCTGGACCAACTGGTAGGCTACTACCAGCAGTGTAGTATCTCCCCTTCCATGTCTTCTGTGTGTTTGTACACCTCCAACACTCAAACAATGCGAGAGCAGACGCCCTCTGTTTGTCTGTTTTTCTTAAAGCAGATGTTTTTAACAACAAAAGACACAGACCTGCGAGTTGTGATCAAGTTTCTGCCAATATGACAGTTTTTGTTAAGGGTGGTGTGGTGTGGGGGCAGAGAGGACCCAAATGCAACGCTCAGAGGAAAGGAGGTTTGAGGGAAAAAGGGGTTGAGGGACCGGAGTGGAGGGAGAGGTGGAAGCCGGGGAAACACAGACACGGGGAACCGAGTTGACTGAGACCAGAGAGCCGGGGGACACTGGGGCCGAGGAACGGAGGAGGCAAGGGAGAACTGGGAGGACGCCGTGGGGGAAGTCTGAAGAGGAGAGGACCGGAGAATGAGCCCAGCCAACAGAACGGAGGATGAGGGTGAGTGAACCTGGGAGGGAAACAGACAGAAAGACAGGGTTATTGCGAGGAATAACCGGGGGCTGGAAAACAAAGATTATTTAAATCTGAGCTTGAGAGGTTGGCACCAGGTTGGGAGCAACGATGATCAAGCAGGGGTTGACTGGAGAACCGGGGTAGAAGAACGGTTGGAGATGAGGCTAATCGCTGGCAGGTGTGCCAGGCTGACGAGGTGGCTGACGAGGTGCAGGTGCGGGTCATTGGCTGGGCTCAGGAGCAGAGGGAGAGAGAGAGAAGGCACACACGGGAGGAGACACAGGGAGGCAGGTAGGACAGAGAAAACCAGGGAAAATCACAGAATCACAGACAAAAAGGAGAAAAAGCCATGACACTCACTGTCAGCTGGGCTGCCACCACAACAGTTTTTACTTAGCAGTAAACCAAAGATTACAGATCGCTGGCGCTATAATCTTTGATTAGACTGACAGGACAGCTGATTTGGTTGTTGCCTAGCAACATGATAAGAACAAAATATACTAACATCTTATACTCTCTCCAAGACTCGTTTTTATTTATATATATTCTATATTGTTTCCACACTTAATAGGGAAATCGCTGCAAATACAATTGCTTATTCTATTGTGTGTGTGTGTGTGTGTGTCTTTGGGTTGGCACATATACAGGATAGGCAGCAGATATTTTATTAAGTATTTTATTCATTCGCATGATTGCCGTAACTATTTAGTTCAAAAACACCAAAGTACGAGGAGAGAGAACGAACCAGATGTGAGTTTTTATTTTGCACCGTAGAAGCTAGCGGAAGGCACCAGGCGGGAGGGCATGAGACGGGAGGGCATGAGACGGGAGGGCACAAGGCTGCAGCCATACAGTCTTGACCCAAAGTGATTCCATTCACAACTATAGTCCGTCTCTTTTTTTGTGTCTATAGTAGCATTTTCGCGACCCCCATGGGACCAGGTTGCGATCCCCAGGGGGGTCCTGACCCTCAAGTTAAGAACCACTGATATAGACTAATACAGTTATTATTATACAAATATACAGTAGGCTACATACATGGATACAGGAAATAATTGTGCAGTGCATTTTTTTTTTTTATTTGTGTTGCGTTTGGAGAATGTACACAGCAGTAAGATAGTGATGATAATATGGTTTTCATCTTCACATTAAAAGGTAGCTAAAGTGACACTTTCACAGTGCCTGTTTTGTCCAACCAACAGCTCAAATCTCAATATTATTATTAACAAAACATTTTATAAGCTCTTCACATGTTTTGTCTGCAAAAATGTGAATTTGTAAAGTAACTAATAACTAAAGAACCTGGCTCTTTGTTTTTCTGTCTGAAGAACGGCTCTTGGTTTTGGAGCGACAACTCCCCCTTCAGGATGAGTGATTGGACCAATCAGAGGCAGGGAAAGACCAGCGAGGGCGGGGCTTGCATGGAAATGGAACCAAAAAGTAAACGAATAAACAAGGAATGAATGGATCAATGTAGTTTATAAATGGATTATTATTTTAAAGTGAAAAAATAATGTATTACGATTTGTTGTTTTTGAATAATACTTCATTATTCTTCTTTTTAAAAATCTAAAAACTTAAACCAAATCTTAGTGTGAGTTTTGTGTTTAGGTGGAAAGCTGCACAGCGCCCCCTGTGGAGAGCTCAGGTTCTACTTCTGCTCCAACACAGCCAGGTAGGCTAAAGCAGTGGTTCTCAAACGTTTTCACATCAGGGACCCCTAAACTAACACTAATTAGACCACGGACCCCCATTTGATAAGATTTTGTCCCAGGGTTCCCCATCTGATTGGAGTTTTGCTTTTAGAAAGTGTATGAACCCCGTGACCAAAATAGTCACACATTCTGTCACTGTGCTACTTATGGATAGAATTATAACAAAAATAAACTATTGTCCTTTTTGCTGGGGACCACCTAGAACCTCCTCAAAGATCCCCTGGGGTCCCCGGACCCCACATTTGCTGCATTTCAAACCAAAGGAGCTATACCCCAGAACTAGGAACCTTTGGAGGAACACCAGCGGGACCAGGGTCTAAATTTAGTTCTAGGGTCTTTATTTTACCCCCCAAAAAGTCCCTGCTCAGGGGCTAGTACTTTCCAAAAGTACTAGTACTTTGGAGGGGTGGGGCTTGCTTTGCAGTGAAATTCTGAATGGGCGAGTAGAGGCTACTGGCTTTAACTGGAGAATGTCGGGTGATTTTCTACAACTGCTCCTCTCTTTTCCACCGTTGTTTGTTGTTTGTTTGTTGTTTTAAGTTTTCATCATTCAGGAAGTTTTTACATAGAGCTGAAATCAGTCTCCTCCACTCCAAAACAAGCGGAACAGCTGATTACAGCAGGTAGTAAAGCTCATTAAACATCCCGTTCCTCATCCTGCGTGTGTGTGTCCCTCTCCAGCCAGTGAAGTCGTTACTCAAGAGGGATACCTCTTCCTGCAGATCAGTTTTTAAAGGGGTGGATCTCCGGTGCCCCCTTTCCTTTGGTGCGTGAAAGTGCGTTTTTTACCCACCAAACCACATGCTTTAGCTTCACCAAAAGGAACGTCAGGGTCACAGAGTTAAATTTCATTTTGTAGCTTTTCTGTCAGAATTTGCCTCCTTTTCTTCATGCAGTCAGTATGTATTAATATTAGTGAGGGGCGTTTCACTGAACATTTATAGGCAACTATGGGCCTTTGAAGGGACGGACATGGATCTCCCTCACATGCGTCACATTTCAAGTTGATTGTGATTTATAAAGGGAACTTAAACACGTGTGCGTACGCACGGTTTTATAAGTCTGAATATTTTACGTACGTACACTTTTAGTGAGGTTTCTACGCACGTTTTATAAAGGAGACCCCTGATGTGTGATGATCGAGCTTCAAACAGCTCACGACTCATTTTTTTTGTATTATCTGCTCATCTTGAATATCTCCTCTGCTTATCTCCAGCTCCTCTTCAAAAGTCCTCTCCAGCGACAGGAAACCAGGTAACAGTTTACTGGTTGTTGTAGCGTCCCAGTACTTATGGCAAAGAAATATTTGACTTTGGAAAAACCAGTTTAACAAAACAATCACAACTCAAAGTCCACTTACTATTTTTTTTCCACCTGACCTTTTTGTTCCTGGAGCGAAAGGTGTGTGTGTGTGTGCACGGTATGCTAATTTTTTGAGTTTCGTGTGTGTGTGTATGTACTGTATGTGTGTGTGTGTGTGTGTGAGAGAGAGAGAGAGAGACACACACACAAATACAGTACATACACACACACACACGAAACTCAAAAAATTAGCATACCGTGCAAAAGTTCATTTATTTCAGTAATTCAACAGGTGAAAATAATATATATATGTGTTTCAATGATTATTGCATAGAGCTTATGAAAACCCCAAATTCAAAATCTCAGAAAATTAGAATATCACATGAAATCAATAAAAAAAAAAAAATTTAAAATACAGAAATGTCAGCCCTCTGAAAAGTATAATCATGCATATGTACTCAGTACTTGGTTCGGGCCCTTTGTGCATGAATTACTGCCTCAATGCAGCGTGGCATGGATGCTATCAGCCTGTGGCACAGCTGAGGTGTTATGGGAGACCAGGATGCTTCAATAGCGGCTTCGGCTCTTCTGCATTGTTCTGTCTCATGTCTTTCATCTTTCTCTTGGCAATGCCCCACAGATTCTCTATGGGGTTCAGGTCAGGCGAGTTTGCTGGCCAATCAAGCACAGAGATCCCATGGTCATTGAACCAGGTTTTGGTACTTTTGGCAGTGTGGACAGGTGCCAAGTTCTGCTGGAAAATGAAGTCAGCATCTCCATAAAGCTCGTCTCCTGAAGGAAGCATAAAGTGCTCTAAAATGTCCTGGTAGACGGCTGCGCTGACTCTGGACTTAATAAAGCAGACTGTGGAAACTTCACACTGGACATCAAGCATCTTGGATTGTGTGCCTCTCCATTCTTCCTCCAGACTCTGGGACCTTGGTTTCCAAATGAGATGCAAAATTTGCTCTCATCAGAAAAGAGGACTTTGGACCACTGAGAAACAGACCAGTTCTTTTTTTCTTTAGTCCAGGTAAGACGCTTCTGACGTTGTTTGTTGTTCAGGAGCGGCTTCACAAGAGGAATACGACATTTGAAGCCCATGTCCAGGACCCGTCTGTGTGGTGGCTCTTGATGCAGTAACTCCAGCCTCAGTCCACTCCTTGTGAAGCTCCCACACACATCTCATGAATGGCCTTTACCTGACAATCCTCTCCAGGCTACAGTCATCCCTGCTGCTTGTGCACCTTTTTCTTCCACACTTTTCCCTTCCACTTAACTTTGTATTAATGAGCCTTGATACAGCACTTTGAGAACATCCAACTTCTTTTGCAATTACCTTTTGAGGCTTTCCCTCCTTGTGGAACCCTCCTCAGTGACTACGTTTACATGCTGTCAATATTGGGGTTATGTTCGGGTTAAGGTCACTATTCAGGTTTTTTTAAACATTCGGGATAACCCGTTTACATGCGTGAGCAGAGAGAGTTACTCCTGTATACATGGAATTTGTAATCAATTGGCACTACCCCGATGTAAATGGCGACACACGGTTAACGTACGGACGTACTCAAAAGACCAAGATTCCTTGCGAATAGAACATGCGCAGAACACAAATCACTATGGGGATATGCCGATACGCGTTTACATGACCAAAAATTCGGGTTAGAAAAGGGGTACCCCAGGTATATTATCCAGTTTTTAAAATCCAGGATATGAGCATATTCGGGTTTTTGCCGGTGTTGACATGGCCGTTCGCGACCGGGTTATTGCTAATATCCCGGTTTTGAACGGGTTATTGGCTGCATGTAAACGCAGTCAATGATGGTTTTCTGCACAACTGTCAGGTCAGCAGTCTTCCACTGAACCAGACTGAGAGACCAATTAAAGGCTCAGGAACCCTTTGCAGGTGTTTTGGATTAATTAGCTGATTAGAGTGTGACACTTTGAGCCTACAATACTGAACCTTTTCACAATATTATAATTTTCTGAGATTTTGAATTTGGTGGTTTTCTTGGCTTGTGTGGAGGTGATGGGGAAAAAAGACTAAGCTACCAGTGCCTCAAGTTTACAGCTAATTAGCCAAAAAGACAAATATAGTTAACTTATAGTTAACTTATGTCTTGCTAACATGCATGACAATGAGCTACTAGCTAATGTAATAAGTTAGCTAAAGTTCAGCTAATGCCATGCAGGTTAACGTACAGTACTTAGTGGAGACACTACAGGTTAATACAGTAAAATCTGTGTCTAATAAGGTCGTCATATTTTGTTGAAATCCGATAAATATGAAACAATGCGTGAGTGTGAGGGAACTGAAATAAATTGGTTAGGAATTCAAAGTTGTGTTAATATATTTAACTTTTATACACTTGAGCCCCCGTCCCCAAAAATATTTGTGCACATCCCTGTGCAGGACTATTTAACATCACATAGCAACAACATTTTGATTTTCTTCCCCTCTTTATCTGAGGCATCGTTCCCGTTCTGAGTCTGTTTGATGTTGTGTGGGGCAACAGCTACTTCTTGGCGGAGGAGATTCTCCGCTCGTCCTCCTTCCTCAAGGAGCTCTGGTCTGGTCAGCTGACTCACCGCTGCTACAACAACTTCATGCAGCAGGAGGCGCTCTATCTGCACAGAGTCAGCAGCACACTGGAGGTCAGAGGTTTTGATTTTGCCTGGTTTGTCTTTCTACCTGTTGATCTCTCTGCCTTTCTTTCTTTACTAAACTAAACTCTGATCCTCTGATGCTCGTCCACCCTCATCAGTCTGTGATTTTCAGCTCTCTCCAGCAGTTGGGGAGGTGAACTAACATCACTGCAAAGCATGTTAAATTACTTCACCAGCTGAAGCAATACACATTACTATCCTATGTGCAGATCTACCGCTGTTAACTTCGTGACATTGAATTTAGATTTATTGTTATTTTACAGATACTCAGGTACACAGCTTCTCCACCATCTCAGTAACTGTAACTTACATGACCCACATAACATACAATAATCAGGCATGTGATTGGCAAAGGGCAAAAAAGCAAGAAAATATACAAAGACCCCCCAACACCCCGATTAAACTGGCAGCAGCAGGACCCATGACAATAACTTATTTGGTGGATGTGTTGCAGTGGGAATCAAAGACAATTGTCTAATCCATTGCAACCTCTCAACAGCTAAATGTGTAACATTAAATAATTGAGTCTATAACTAAATAATATAACTACTAACCTTCAAATTAGTTCAGTAAAAGTTAATGGGTTATTTTTAATGAATAAGAGACAGCAGCAAAGGTTGTTGCCTGTTTAAGACCTGGTGGCCTAACTGTTAAAGAAACATTTATATTATTCAGGAAACTCAGATAAAACAGCAGATCAGTCTCTGTCTATTGATAAACTGTAGGAAAAGTTCTGACAGCAGGCGGGCATGTGTGTGAGACGAGAATGACTGCGACAGTTTCACAGAAGTCGTTGCCATGGTTACCTCGCGGAGCGGTTGTTTGCCTGAGCGCAGAGCGACCCCGCGGATCCAAGCCGTCTGAAATGGCCTTATATAAACCCTATCACAACCATTCAAGAGAATTTTTTTATAACTCACCAAAACCATTAACAGAAGGACGACTTAAAAAGCAACCATTCACAAAGTCAAAGTAAACATTAGATAGCCTATAACAAGCAGTAATCAAAACATACCCAATTTATCCGATCCTTATTGTCAACTCATTGTTGGGCAAGTTACTCAAAAATATAGCTATGACCTACTAATTACTTAGCATATACTCCTTAGAAAAGTAATATTAGCTACTGTACTTATTACTGGGTGATATAACGCCACTCTGTCCCTACGAGTTCAAGCATCACTGGCAGCAACGGCCGGAGTTTCTTTCTGAGTTTCACGTTGATGTGCTGCTTTAGCTGGTGCTTCAATTAGCCTGAGTATAAATGTAGAATTGTTCGCGGTCAAAAACTTTTTGCTGGTCGCACAAAGTTTACAATGGACGACAATGTTCTTTGCATCTTACACTGTGACACAACAATGGTAACTTAACGTTACAGCTGTCGAAAATGTAACGAACATTAATTTAACCTAAAACTGATTAAAAAATATTACTGTAACACTGCAGTGGGAGTTTACCTGAGTTTCCAGGATGTTGTGAGAAACTGTCTCCTGGTGTGTTGGACTTTGTTTAGGCTCGCTCGTTAGTTCGAGCACACGCACGAGGAAGAGAAGGTAGTGGTTGTAATCTGAAACCTCTCCACTGGAGGCCACTGAAAACTACATAACCTATAGCCCCTTTTAAGTAAGTAACTTTCTAAATGCACTTTTTCCTCACCTGATACCTACTAAACTCCGTGTTAGGTGAGTCATCCCAAACATAACTTTTTGCCTGAGTCCTGCTCATGGAGGAGGGGAACCTGGTTACGTTTCCTCCTGAGAAACCATAAAACATGATTTGAGTAACTTGACGTTTGCTCTCTGCTGTAGATGTGATTATTTCCCAGTCTGAGGTGAACTGGGGCCTGTACCATGAAGCAGGATTTGAGCTTATCCAGGTAACTTCGGGGTTAATCCTGGGTTTTCAGTACCACGAAGGTGGTTCACTACTTACCGGGGTAGATCGCCATGGTAACTTGTGCTGAACGGCTTGGGCCCCTGACCATAACCTGCTCCGGAGCAGAAACGAGATCAACTCTGTGAAAACGCCGCCTACTGACCAATCAGCTCTCTTGGAAAATGACATCACCATCTGAAGGAAATCCCACAGACTGTTTTAGCCAATATGCTGCTTTATGTTTGCTGCGGTGATGTGGAGAAACTCTTGTCTATAAAGCGATATAATCCTACAGTGACTGATTAAAAGCATTAGGCTATTGTTGCCTACAGGTTTTTACAGTACAGCAGGATAAGCCTACTTATTGCTTTGAAATGTGTTTAATATATTTACTCCCAATCCATTTCACACAGCCTGACGCAGCCGTTAAAATAAATAGGTTTTATTTTTCTTATGTGAGGCTGAATAATATGAGCAGTTTGGTAGGGATATTGAAATACTACATTTTAATATGAATGTAGGCTATCTATTATAGGTTAGTATTGTTTTCTTATAGGCCTACCACAGAGACTGTATTCATGTTCTGCCCCATCTTTTGCGATGTGGACAGTGAGTTTTCAGTAGCCTAAATGTTGAAATTCAGTCTTTCAACCACTATGAGCACATTTTATGGCAAGAATGGAGTTTGTTTCATTGCTTTATGAAGTTAATTTAGAACAATGTTTCTATCACTTTTGAGTGTGTTAAAAAAAATTTCTCATTTTTGAAGTGACAAGTTTTTTAAAGTAAGGGTGGAACGTGGTGTGAGGTGTCTTTTAATGTGGAAATGCCGACACACAGCCGAGCTGAAAGAATAAGGCTGATGTTTTCATACAGCTCATAAGGACACATCAAATCAATGCACTATTACAAACTAGGCCTGATCATTTAGGCATTCACACTGTCAGCGATTTTCTCCTTGCATGTGTCAGCTGCAGCCGTGCTGCTGTTGTATTTCTGTAGTGTTACAGTTTAATCCTAGTTCATAAAATATGACGCTCTGCTGCCAGTGGACTTGTTCATGTCTGTGATTGGTCATCTGCTGCTAACACCGCCTCTTTTATGTGAACGCGCTCACGACTGAATTGGGAACCCCTGTATTGAGTTACCGAGTTGATAATCAGCTTCGTGGTACCACTTTTCTCAGCCGTGATTGTTAGGGTTAGTTAAGCCAGATAACTGAAAGATATCATGGGTATGTTGAGCTCGCTTTGTGGTACAAGCCCCACCTGGTGTGACTGGGCTGTGATGTAAGAGTCTTGTTTGTTCCTGCAGGCCCTGATGTGTAGTTTACAGGAAGCAGATGAGAACACAAAATCACTGCTGCTGGACACACTTCAACACTACAGCAGCAGAAACAAGGTGAGACAGACAGGCTGTGTTTACAAACAGCATTTTTGGTCGATAATAAGGATAAGTATGCCCGATCACATTAAAAATGCCTCATGTAAGAACCTTGATCTGTCATGAGATAAGGCTGAGTGCAGTGGCAGGTAGTAGAGGCGTGGACCCAACTGCAGACAATACACGAAGAAGGTGCAATTTAAAATATTGATTAACTCAAAAACCTAACTGAGACAAGCTTACGTGGGATCACAAGGTAAAGGAAAAGATAATCCAGAGCCCAGGCAGAGTATTCCAAAGGCAACAGCAGAACAGACCTCTCAACATCAGACAACAACATGGCAAATGCTGATAACAACTGAGGGCAATATATACATAGACAAATGAACAGGGAGGAAGTGCACAGGTGAATGACATGAGCAGCTAATTAGGCACAGCAGACACACAGTGAAATGAGGCAGAGTGAAAAAGCAAGGTAACCAGGCAGGAAACTAATACAGAACAGAATAAACTGAAATGACTACAAACACAAGCAGACACAGATCCATAAACAAAAGTACTAAAACAAAGGCAGAGGTACCAAACTAATAATCAAGACAAAAATACACTAAACTAACAGGAGTAAAGCTAGACCAGGCACAGAAGATTACAAAATAAAACAGGAAGTACATGGGAACACACAAGGACAGATCTACCAAAGTAAAACACAAAACATGGAAAGACTGCAAAATCAGGGCATGTCAGTTTGTCTCCTGTTTTAGTGTATACACTAAAACAGGAGACATAAAACTAAGGACTAAGACACAGACCAAAATAATAAAACACAGAAGTACACAGACCAGGAAAAACACAAAACAGGAACTAAAGCACGGAACTAAGAACTAAAATGCAGGACGAAGAACTAAGATAAGAGACAAGACAGATACTAAGAAAACTTAAACATGCGAATGAACAAAAGACTAAACTTAGCTACAAAACACAAAACCTTAAACATGACCAGATCAAATAAAGCTTATAGAAACACAGACCCCAAAACCAGACCCATGAAACCAGATACTAAGTAAACTAGAACATGTGAAAAAATAATAAACAGGAAAGACATGAACACAAAACCACACTCCTAACATGATCAGACTAAATCAGAATCAGAAACAGCTTTATTACCAAGACGTTTTACACATACAAGGAATTTGTTTTGGCGACTAAGTGTTCAACAACAATCAACATCCACCTATAAAATATAAAGCTATATAAAAAAATGTATGAAATTGGCAGAATGTGAACAAAATGTAATTTAGTTTTTGATTGTCTCCTCCTCCAGAGCCCCCTCACTTCGCCTCCCCCACAGTGGCTCCCCTTCGCCCTGCAGTCTTTCCACTCTGTGGTTTTGGAGGAGCCGATCTATTGGCTGGTGGCCCTGTCGGCCCGGGCCTGCCTCCGGGACTTTTTGGCTGAGCTCAAGCCCGGTTCCCCGCTGGTGTCTGGGTCTGAGGATAAGGCCTACAGCATCTACCAGGAGTGGAGTGAAGAGAGTCTGAAGGAGGTCGCCTGGATCCGCAGGTACACGGACGTGCACGGACATTTTGAGCGGCACGGGCTCAAGTGAAAAATAGGCAGAGGTGTGACCTCGAGTCACATGACTTGGACTCGAGTCAGACTCCAGTCACAAAAATGACGACTTTAGACTCGAACTTTGACTTTAAAACAAATTACTCCTGACTTTGCTCGGACTTGAGCCTTTTGTCTTGAGCTGACTAGGCACTCCCCATGCCCAAATATAAATTATGATATAAAAAACTGCACAGCGCATCAACATAGCGCGGTGGTCAATTAGACGTGGCTTCCTCCAGCAAGAGGGAACAATCACCGACCGTCCGAAGCGCGGCCGGCCGCACCGCGATCTCCTGTCCCTGGCCCTGTACGCCCCAGCGACCCACTCCCTCTCCGGTACCTTCAATGGGTTGTGTAGTAGGCCTACTACTATTAATTTTACGCATAAATCATGCACAACAGCTGGGGCCCTGACGCAGCACTATACAACTTTCTAAAATCCACCAACTCACGGTGAAAAGAAAGGTCAGGACGAAACAGTGAAGAGAGATAGCCGCAGCTGTTGTGTGAAGCTGCTTCCACCAATTATAAAACAAGTTAATTAAGATAAAACGATAATAGCGCTGAGTTCTGTTTCACAACGACACTCGTTTTGTTTTATAAATCCAGTGAACCACACAGAGCACACACAGAGCCCCCTCAGTGACCCATCTGTCACCCAAAGCTGAAACTGTGCTGCAACCTCTTGTACTGTAGATGCTGCAAAGTTAATAATGTTGGATTATTGTTTCTTATTTCATGGGCTATGAGATTTTGGAGTAATGCATACAATAGTTTTTAAAAAGAAAGTATTACATTTTAGAAGTTCAATAGTTTAATGTTTCCTAAGGCAATGAGTAATCCTGTTAAATAATTGTGATCTCAATATTGACCCAAAATAATTAGCAGCCCTACATGAACATTTAATTTAATTCATGAAATTATAGAACATCTGTGAAACTGCACCTCTGCCTTCTTTCTGTACAGGCTAATGCTTCATTCAATACATTTTTTTTATTTTTAACTTGAAAAAACTTTTGAAATGTTTTTTAAGTTTGGTGAAGAGATTATGACTTGTTTAGGACTCGAAACTCAAAGTTTAAGACTTGGACTTGACTTGGACTTGTTGGTCCTTGACTTGAGACTTGACTCCGACTTGCCAGTCATGATCGGTCTGGACTTGGGACTCGACTTGGGACTTGAGTGCTAAGACTTGAGACTTGACTCCGACTTGTAAAACGATGACTTGGTCCCACCTCTGAAAATAGGGAACTTCTCATAAAAGTGGTCATATTATGCTCATTTCAGGTTCAAAATCTTATTTAGGAGTTGTACCAGAAGAGGTTTACATGGTTTCATTTTCAAAAAACACCATATTTTTGTCATACTGCACATTGCTGCAGCTCCTTTACCCTGTGTTGAATGCTTCGTTTTAGCTATTGAGTGATACATCTTACCCCTACAAGATCTTTGTTGGGAGATGCACATGCGCGGGTCCTAGTTAGGGACCTCTAGCCAAGCAGAAGCAGAGTAGGGCGGGTCGTGAGAAGCCGGTAAACATGGCTTTGGTTCAGCTGTATATGTTCCCCTTACCGGCTTAGCAACATGGACTGGAGCAAGAGTTTCAGCGTGGTGAATTATTAATCTGTAACAAAAGTATCTTTCATCCATAAAGTTTTCAGTGCTCTCACAGTAACACAGTAACAACTCTATGACATCTTGTCACTGTGTGCTGCAACTCAGTGTGTTTTTCCAACGGTTTTTTTTTGAGGGCGTGTTGCACTAGCCGCTAGGCGAGCAATATGATGCGTATTTTGTTGTGCAAAGCGGAAGAAAAGGCTGGACTACAAACAAGCTATTTTCAGGTAGTTCAGAACAGTGTTTTCTGTGAGAGATGGGAACCTTTGGGGTGAACTTTGGGCTTTTGCACTTTGCAAACCTATTACGTGCACAGAAAAGATATATAACTCACTAAAGGAGAGGGGAAAAGCCAAAAAGCATAATACCATCTCTTTAAATAAAATGTTGCATATATTAACACAGCTCTGACTTCCTTAACAATTTATTTTAATTTCCTCACACTCGTATGTTTCATACTCAACGGATTTCTACAAAATAATCAGTTCACACCGAGACCATGGTCTTCTTTATTATTCAAGCACACACAATAACTGATGCTGCAGGATGGTGACAAGGACGTAGTTTTGAATTTCATACAACAAACTAATAGAATGGATATTTATTAGATGAGGAGCCCACAATCAAAATTATGAAGTTAGTGGTCAATTTTGCTTCCATGTTTTCTTTTACTCTTTTACTATTGGAAAGTCAACTTCTAAAATACATATTCAGCCATCCAACCGTTACAGATTCAAGATTCAAAGTGTTTATTGTCAGATGTTCAAGTTTCCCTGTACACTGAAATACTTACTTTGCTGTCCACATCAAATGCCTAAAATAAAAGTAAAATAAAATATATGTATCAATAAAAATACAATGAAAAAATATAATAAATAGAGATATAAAATAAGCTTCAAAGAATAAAAATTGTAAATTAACAGTTGTGCAACTGATGAATTATATACATGTGGGAATTTTGCATGGAGTGATGCAAAAATAGTGCAATTAACATGTCATGGTACAGATGGGCATGATTATGGAGTCCTGATGCCTATTAACTGTTTAGGAGTCTGATGGCAGTGGGGAAGAAAGACTTCTTCAGTCGTGTAGTCCTACATTTCACACTTCTGTACCTCCAACCCGAGGGTAGAAGTGTGAACAGTTTGTGTTGGGGATGGGTGGGATCCTTGTTAATTGAGGCAGCTCTCCTGTGGACTCTTTGATGGTAGATAATAATAATAATAATAATAATTATAATAATAATCTTTATTTTTATAGCACCTTTCATACATAAAATACAGCTCAAAGTGCTTTACATCATGAGCACTTAAGTAAAAAGAAGTACATAAATAAATAAATAAAACATACAATACAGCAACATGTACATAATCCACAAGCACAAAAACAAAGGTATTAAAACTGGGAAAGGGTAGCAGCCAGGACTACAGTATGAAATAAATACAATATAAAACTATAAAATAGTTAAAAGCAAAAGAATAACTATAATCAAAGGCATAAAAGTAGGTCCTGAGCTGCTTCTTAAAACTATCAAGAGAGGTTGCTTCTCTTATATGTAACAGAAAGCTGCTTCACTAAATGTTTTACTGTTCATTCTTGGGACATTAAGAAGACCAGCATCAGAGGATCTGGGAGAGCGAATTGGAACATAATTTGATAAAAGGTCAGATAGATAAGAAGGTGCTAAACCATGAAGTGCTTTAAAAACAAGTAAAACAACTTTAAAATCAATTCTAAATGCTATAGGAAGCCAATGGAGAGAAGCTAAAACTGGTGTGATGTGTTCTCTCATTACGGTTTTAGTTAAAACTCTTGCTGCCACATTTTGAATTAGTTGTAGCCTATTAATATATTTTGAGCATACCAGTAAAAAGGCATTACAATAATCCAACCGTGAAAAAACAAAAGCATGTAACAACTTTTTACCATCTTCCAAGGCAAGGTGGGGTCTAACTCTGGCAATGTTTCTTAAATGAAAAAATGCGACCTTTGTAACACAGATTTTTGACAACACTCTTTTCCTGCACAGCCAGTCATTTAAATCTATTAGAAATAATTTGTCTCTGTGTTGATCTCTGTCTTATCCTCATTTAGTTTAAAATAGCAATTTGTTGTTCAGTTCAGTTCAGTTTTTGCACAGATTTTAAAAAGTGAGATATAATGTGTTAATTTGCTTTAGAGTAGCTGGTAAGTGGATTTTGTTGGACAGACAGGCCAGCTGCACTCCCTGTATCCAGTCTTTATGCTAAGCTAAGCTAAGATGCTGCTGGCTACTGCCCTATATTTACATATAGTGTTATCGGTCTTCTCATCCAACTCTCACAGGAAAGCGAACCATAGTATTTTGAAGCACATCCTGGTATTACAGTCAGATAAAAGAAGTTAGGTAGTTGTTTTATGTTGTCCTAATTGTCCTTTTTACTGTGTGTGTGTGTGTGTGTGTGTGTGTATGGCAGGTTCAGAAAAGTGACAGAGGAATACCAAGATCAGATGGACATGTATAAAGCCATAAACATCTTCAGACAGCACATGATGAACCAGAAGAGTTTCTACAAGGCTGCGTAAGAACAAATGAATCTGAGGATGTATCCAACCAATTCTCATACCAGGACGTCACACATGGACGCTATGTCAAGACCTTTTAGCGCTGTTTTTGAATTAGCAAGAATATCTATGCAAGGTCCGGTTAGACTTTAAAAATAAAATTAGTGGTAAACATGAATAGTCGCAGTTTGGTTAGGTTCTCGCACCAAAAGTACTTGGTTAGGTTTAGGAAAAGATCATAGTTTGGCTTAAAATAAATGTTACTTGCATGAATTAAATTATAGAAGTTCAATAAGGCTAACTTCACTAAAAGGACTTAGGACTCACTGTCCATGGGCTCTAGCCTCGCATAGAAATTAAGCACACGTCTATTTACTCTGTTGCTTGCATCAGCCACTAATCTGCTTCTTATGTGAAGACACCGGGTTGGGATGTAGCCCTGTGCGCACACCCGAGCCTCTCAGACTACACCGCAGCTAACAAAATGCAGTCCACTAACAGCACAAAACACCCGGCACCCAGCACAACACAAACTCCATGTAAGGATAAAAACAACAATAAAGGCTTATTTGATAAAGTCTGTCAGACCAAATGAGATTCAGATGATGTCGGATAAAAACAGTCACATCAGGAAGTCAATGAGAGAGTCACGTTAGCTTGGCTGCTAACGCTGAGCAGTTGCTAACGTTATCCGGTGCAAAGTTGTAACGCTTTCCACATTACTTTACCAGCTAACACGACCCAGATTACTACACTGTGTACCACTGGTATTATGTCAAAGTCTTGATTTAGCCTGAAAGAAAAGATGTAACGGTCAAAAGCAAATGTGGGGAAATTTGTTTATAGCCTACAGTGATGCAAGGCAGGGCAGTCAGCTAACGCTAATTAGCTCAGACCTGCCGCTCTTTGCTTCGTAATGTTCAATATAGATTTATTGTGGTTTTACCAATAGATACACAGATTCTCCACTGTTTCAGTCACTGTAACTAACGTGACCCACATAATATACAATAACACAACGGCGACAACAACACAGAGGAAGAGCTATCCACTAACGTTACAGTAATGTTACTTACTGCAGTCTGTTATAAAGTGTGACAACAATCTCATAATATTCAGTCTAACTCACTAACCGTTTCATTATCATCCAATACATTTAGCTGTGCTCACATTGCACATTGCTTCTGAGCCGGGAACGTTGAAGTAACAGAGCCTGTCTGTGTTTGTATGAAAGCGGTTGTGTTTGGGATTATGAGTTCAAGCGAGCACCCGTACAAGCACACACCTGGTTGCAATCTTACAACCGCACCGCTAGTGGCCGCTGAAAATTATATAATGCCCCTTTAATGTTAACTTTTTCTTTCACACGGGAAACAAACACCAGCCTCCTGGTTCAATGTTGGGTTTCTTACTCACCCATCCACCACAACCACCTCCTTATTCTGACTTTTCTGTTATTTATAGTAGTACTTCTAGCATTGAACAATGGTGCTAAAGGGCTTCCACAGTATGTTCAATTATGATGCAAAAGCGTGCCGTGTGCGTTGGTACCAGACGCCAACAGACGGGACAAAGCATTGGTATTTGACGCTCAGAGAATGAGAACAGGCTGATGTATCTGTCTATTGGTCAATAGGGCTTAACGATTTAGAAATAAAATATCTAATTGCAATTATTTTGACAGAAATAGCAATTGCGATGTGATTTGAAATACTGGAGGAGTGATCATTTTTATATTCTCATTTTCATTGAAAAACATATTTAAATGGATTATGGTATGATTTTTGTGGGAATCTGTACCAAACAAAGATGTTTTCGTAAGTCTCTAGAACATAACATGCAGGCCGGGGCACCTCTGCAGCATGACAATATTTAATTTAAAATGTTATTTTGACACATATATCGCCTTTAGCAAAAAATGCACCGTCCTATTGCAATTGTGAATTTTGGATTAATTGTTCAGCATATTGATCAGTGTGGGTCTTTAATATGTGTGTTTCTACTGCAGAGACTGTGATGTAGGGGATGAAAACATATGAAGAGTTGTTGGCCTGCTGGTGAAGGTGAGTCACCACATCTTAAATTACATTTTCTTCTTTATTTTTACAATTCAACTAATAGTGTATGAGATTACTGCATATTTGATAGAAGTTGTAACAGTAATAATAATAATAAGTAATAATAATAATAATGGTTGTACTAGTATAACTTTAAGAAGTATTAATAATAGTAGTACTAGTAAAGTAGGAGAAGTAGTCAAAGTTATAATAGTACAAATAAAGTATTGGTGGTAGCAATATTAAGAAATGGTAGTAGCTAATGTTAGCAGTACAAGTAATTGCAAACAGTAGTAGTAGTACAAGTATAAACAGTAATAGTATTAAATAACTAAGTAGTAATATATGTATAAACAAAATATGTTTAACAAACGATTTAATTCGTTTTTCATATTTGTTTTTATAATCCAGCTAACAGGACATTAGACAACTCCTCTCACGTCCAACTCAGTCTATTTATTTTCAGGGTTTTCCCAGACAAACAAACAGACCTCCTCTCCACTGCAGTCAAGGAAATGACTTCTCTTCTACAAGTTTGTGTGTAGTTATGATAACATCGTGGCAAGAATGACACAGGGAAGAGCAGAGTTGTTTTTCTAAAGCGCTCTACTCCCTGTTGGCACCTGCAGTCCCAATTACACAATCATTCACATTACTTGCAAACTAAATCATAAAAACCTTGGTTACCATTTGTTAGATTGAAAGCTATGATTAGCTTGTTTACTATATTTACTACTATGTTGCTGTTCTTCTACAAGATGAAGGATATCCTGGATAAGAGAGCATCTGTAAATAAATAATAATGAACAAACCAACAATTAATTTCCTCTTTATTGACCATTTAAAAATAGATTTAGTTTGGTTTAATGTTTCTTATTTATTACTTTATGGCGGGCACAGTGCATATTAATAACATTTCTGAAAATAAAATTTCTGAAAGACTACTTTCTGGCTAACAGAAAGTATTTCCTTATATTTTCCTTTCTTTGCAACCCCAGTTTATTTTATTTAATTTTATTATTTTATTTGTGGCTGAAGAGACCCGCCGTGGTATCAGACTTAGGAATGGAAATGACGATGACTCAGAAGACCACCTTAACAGAACTTAACAGAGCAGCAGCACTGGCAGAACATAAGTTACAAATCTGCATCTGTGGCTGGACAAAGATCAGAAATGGGCCTGAAGATTCAGCCTGGTATCATCAAAAGCCATTTTGACTGCATTGACTTGTATTTTGCAAAAACGGCGTGCCATTTTACGCCTACTGTCACAAGTAAAATCAACGCATGTTGGATATAAATGAAAGTCCAACATTAAGGTGGTGAAGGGTTTGGTTCCCAAGTGAAACAAAACAAAACAACAAAAATTACACATTAGTTTTTGTTTTTTATTTGTGCTACGTTACATAGCATTAGCTATTGTAACGTGAGAGTTCGATTTGTGGTGGTTGGAACGCTCTTTAAGAGAAGAAACAACAGGATGGAGACGGATAACTTTCTTACGCATCACTTTACTCTTCTCCACACTTCATCAGCTTCATAACAACAACACTTCCTTTTTCAGCCTCTCACGTGACTGAACTAACCAATGAGAAGCTAGCAGGAGTTAGACTGAAGTAAATGCAAGGAAAACACAAAGGTAGATTCAGCTTAATATACTAGCTGATTTACAGATTCAAATTTAACGATTTAAACATATAAATATGTAAATACCAACTGTGTAATACAAAAATATGAATAGTTAATTGAGTAAACACTGTAAATACATTTTTAGTAAATTACATCAAATATATGAATTGACTTAATTTCCAACTTACACTATGTTAAAGTTTAAGTAGCTAGCTGTACTTTACTGCTGGTTAACCCTACAGCTGCTCAGATAGGGTTAACCTCCTTTGTGTTGCTTATGTCTATTCTGAACAGCGTGAAAGACATGCACAATAGAAATCAATGCATGAAAACGGCATGAAATGATGCCATTCCATGATATCATGTTTGAAAATTCATTAAGGCAAGAAAAAGTGCATGGTAGATAAAGGCAAGGGGCATCGCATTGACCATTACTTCCTAAGAGGTAGGTCAAATAAGTGGAATGTGGCCACTCGGTAGTTCCTACCAGAGGGGAGAAGGTAGAACAGGTTGTGTGATGGATCTGCAGTGATGTTTCCTGCCCGCCTCCTGACTCTGGACAAGTCTTGAATGGAGGGCAGGTTGGATTCTCTCTGAAGTCCTGACTGCCTGTTGTAGTCTGTTCCTGCCCTGTTAAGTTATTACACAGTTTAGAGTATATATTTTTACTGGCCATTTCAACACAATCAATATTTAAGTATGCAAACCAATAAAAATCATTATACACTTGTTCCTTGTATGTCCTTTTATTTTGGTCCTAAGCACATTCCTTTTAATGCCTGATCAGAAAACTATTTTGTTTTAAATCCAGGTCTAAAGCACCATGGCCTCCGTCTTTATTACTTTAGTGCAGTAAATGTTATTTAGTTCCCCATATCAAATTCACTTCAACTTTAATTATTATTCTTTGGGAGGGACAACAGTTGTTAGAAACAACAATTTAGATAAAATAGAAGTATTTTTTTTTAATTAAAACTCTAGTTTCCATTTTTGTGGTTCATCTTTTACTTCCCTTTCCTTGCCACCCCAGTTTTTATTACTTATTTGTACACCTAAAATCTTAATGTCATTTCTATCCTGAACTTTAATAGCAGGTCATCTGTCATTCCTTCCAAACCAGACTCCTTCTGTTTTGTTGTGGTTTAATTTTGGTTCTTGATTATGACAGTAACATCATCAGGATATGCCAAAACAACCACACATTACTAGTTCTGGTGCCACTCAACCTGTCACCATCCTTGATTCTCTTCAATAATGAATATTCATCACAAAATTATAAAGGGCATCTGATAAAAGCCAACTGTGTTTGACGCTCTTAAGTTAGATTTTTTTTCTGTTAAAATGTCATTCATATTGACCTGAACTGTTGATTGAGCATGTAACAACTTAACTACCTCAATAACATCATGCTCAAACGAATAAGCTTCTAACACCTCCTGAGATTAATTAAAGGCTTTCTTTTGGTATAGACAACAATCTTCCCTTGATAACAAATGCCTTTTATTTTTTTAAAGCATTTTTTCAAGGTATTATTTAGTCTGTCATTACTATTTTTGCAACCATGTTATAGTCAAAACTCAATAGGAAGTCCATCAGGACTGGTGATTTACCTTTATTTAATTCTAGGATTGCATTAAGGTTAAAAAACAAGATCAGCGATACTCAACATCCTTCAACATCTGCCGGACAATGCTGAGGATGTGTTATGAGTCTGTGGTGGCCAGTGCCATTCTGTTTGTTGTTGTATGCTTGGGTAGCAGGTGGTTGTGGGGATGGAGCTGGACAAGTCAGTGGTTTCATAGAGAAGGATGCTGTCCAAGCTAAGTGCCATCTTGGACAAAGCCTTCCACCCACGTCATGACGTGCTGGTCAAACACAGGAGTATTTTCAGTGCAAGACTCGTCCCTCCTAAATGCACCACAAAGCGCCACAGAAAGCCATTCCTGCCTGTGACCATCAAACTCTTTAACTCCTCCCTCATAGTGTCAGACAGCCTAATTCTTTAGTCATTAGTGGTCCTAGAAAGTGCAATACTTGACTGATGTGCAATATTCTCTGCAATACTCAACTAATGTGAAATATTCTCTGCAATATTCGACTATTGTCCAATATTCTGGTTTTATTATGTCCCAATACGATCATTTTTAAGGATTTAAATCCATTCCAGCTCTCAACATTATCAGTAGCCTACTCATTATTACTATTCATTACATTTCTGTCGCAAAGCCTACTGTAGAGTACTGTACATATTTCCTAACTCTTATTTCTGTTATTTTCTATTTTCTATTCTTATTTATTTCTATTTCTTTAATGTGTTGTTTAGCAATGTGAGCAGCTGTAACACAACAGTATCCCCTCGGGGATCGATAAAGAACTTCTGATTCTGAAAAGCAGTGAAAAATATGAAGATAGGCTACAACAAACAAGAGCTTGCACTGTGTAGAGACAAGAGAGACTAGCTCTTATGACACAGAATAAACAAATCCAACAAAGAGCATGACAACACAATGTTAGGCCAGGAGTAAGACAGTCTCCTGAAGTTGTTGCTCTAGTAGTTAGGCTGTTTTTAATGTGATGTAGGCTAAGTGGTGAAGGAGCCATATTGTGTAATACCTTGGAAACGACACAGTTTACTGTATTTAACCATGTTTTCACAGTTTAGTAAATTGTGCTTTTTCACAATTTAGCATTCCTACACCACCAGTATTGTGACAGAAATTTTGACAAACCAAACAATCAAGCGATTAATGAAGAAAACAATCAGCAGATTAAATCATAATGAAAATAATCATTAGTTGCAGTCTGACACAAAATAGTTCAAAAAAAGCTCCACCTCAACAACTACAGCAGTACAATCCTGCCTTTACATTATGGCATGAGTAAAGATCTAATGATATAAAATATAATAGTATAGCACAGGGTACTCTTACTTGTATCAGAGTATTTTACAGTGTGGTATTAGTACTTTTACTTGGATCTAGGATCTGAAACAAACTTCTTAGTCCAGCATAATAGATCAGTTTCCCCCTACATGTCATCCCGCAGACAGCAGTCTCTGTCTTCCCCTGCAGGCCAAAACAGGCCACTGTGCTCTGTCAAATACACAGTTTAAAATTCACAATACTACCGCAATATTTGACCTGGTGCTACTGACACTACTGTCACTAGTATATTACTCTAGTATTACTGCAACTACTACTTCTACAACTACCACCAATACTTTTACTACCTCTACCTATTATAACTATCATGACTTCTCTCACTAATGCAACTACTAACTGCTGCTAATACTAGTATCAGCTCTACTACTTTTACTACAATTGTACTCATACATCAAACAATTTCAGTCAATTTTATTTAAAGTGCAGTACTGTGCAGAATGGTCCCAATACACTTTACAATTAAAAAGAATGCATTGGACAAACATACAGCAAACAAATAAATTAATACAATTTAAAAGGATATTAAAACATCAGTGTTATAAGGATGCTAAAATGGCGATGGACCAGACTACATTCTAGGTTGGGCTAATAGGTATATAGGGCAAAAAACATACATACAGCAAGAAAATAAAAATGACAAAAGTCAAGATAAAGCAACCACATTTAAAAACATAAATTAAAAGGAAGTTAAAAGGAAGTTAAAAGGTGTTGGATCTGACACGAGTTCTAGGGTAGGATGTAGTGACGTAAATACGGGTAGGTTTTCAATCTTGATTTAAAGATATCCACTGAGCGTGCTTATTTAACATGTAACTGAAGGCCATTCCAGAGATAAGGAGCACTGTAGCGAATGCTCTGAAGTCAGCTTATGCAAATGAAGGAATAACCAGGACACCAGCATCGAGAAAGCGAAGAGGGCGTGCCGGTGTATATGGTGTAATTAGCTCAGACAGGTAAGATGGTGCAAGTCTATGCAAAGCCTTATACGTTAAAAGAAGAACCTTAAAATCAGCTCCAGCTTGCACTAGTAACCTGTGAAGAGAGGCCAGAATGGGTTATATGTTCAAGGATAGCTGCAACATTCTGAACAAGCTGAAGACTTTAGCACAACCAGGAAGAACAGAGACACTACAATAATCCAGTCTGGAAGATACAAATGTGTGGATTACGACAGTGGCGTAATTATCGACGGTGCAATGCACCAGGGCTCAACTGATTACAGGGGCCCATGAGGGAAAGCTACAATTGCCACGTGGCTCGTGATCATATGCCCTCATCCATTCATTCATACTGTGTTGGCATAATAAGTTGCTGTGCCATTCTTGATATTAGTTCTGTGGTTCTTGACATACTGTACCAGCTATGTTGTGTTGATTAGCTACTGAAGGCTGGATAAAGCTATTTTGGTTACTTGACAGTCGGAGACAGCAGGTTTGAGTCGAGGGCAGGTTGTAAGGCTGCTGTCGATGGTGCTGATCAAAGGCTGCAGGTTTGCAATTGCGTGGAGTCACTGTGTGTCTGTATGCCCATCTGTAGGCCTACTCAAACTGATTTTTAGGGTGAAAAATATTTGCACTGGGCCAATAACAATTATGTTACACAACTGCTTCAGTGTCATGCAATGATAGAAGAGGTCGGATTATGGCAATGTTCCTTAGGTGAAAAAATGCTTTTGGTAAAAGCCTTGATATGCGACTGGAATGTCAGACAAGAATCAAAAATCCCTCTAAGGTTTTGATAGTTGAGCTTTCAGCCGTCAGTGTTGACACTCAAATTCTTGTACAGATGCTCGTGTTTGGCTGGTCCAACAACTAATAGCTCCTTTTTAGCAGCATTTAGCAGCAAAATGTTCATATCCATCCACTTTTTTGAAAGATATGTTTCTAAATTTAGGAGTCGGGAAAGGTCATTTGGCTTCACGGGTCCATATAGCTGTGCATCGTCAGTGTAGAAATGAAAATTAACAACAAGAAGTCCTCCAACCTAAACAACATAGGTCGTTTTAAACATTACCACCATTTCTTACTGCTACTATCACCAATACTTTTACTAGTCTACTATCACTACTTCTACAACATTGCTATTACTACTATTACTACCACTACTTCTTAAACTTTTACTACCAGCACTGAAATGTCACTACCTCTTTTTTTTATGTATTTCTACTACTACTGCTATTACCACTATAACTGCTTTTATTACTACTACTGTAACATTACTTACTACTACTACTACTTTCACTACACCTTATAGAAATAGATACATACAGTACTACAAACTGTACTCTTCGACTAGCGATACTAAAATTATTGTTATCTACTTAATATTACTACTTCTGCTGTTGCTAGTACTACCACCACTACAGCCACCACAACTTGTACTGCTACTACAACAACTAAAATTACTACTACTACTACTATCAATACTTTTACTATTATTTTCACTATCAAATACACAGTTTAAAATACACAGTACTACTGCAATATTTGACCTGGTGCTACTGACATTTCTGTCACTAGTATATTACTCTACTATTACTGTACTACCTTGAGGACTTACACTATAACTACTATAGTCTACACTACATTACCACTTCCACTGCTATAACTTATACTGCTTGTATTACTACAAGTACTTCTGCCACTATTAGGCAACTTAGTCTACTAACCAAGTAGTACGTTTTAAACATCTAACGTTACTACTACCATCAACACTTTTACCTCTACTATCTGAAGTAAAAGTTTGTCAATATTATTACTTCTACTGTTGCATGTTCTACTACATACTACAACTGCTACTACAACTACAACCTCTACTGATATTACACCCATTATTTGTGGTGCTACTGCTGTACTACTACTCCATCAGCTACTACTTCTGGTATTACACCCTCAATTGATTGTACTACAGCTGGTACTAGCCAACACTAAAACCATTATTGCGTCTACTGTTACAACCACTAAAACGAGTATTACTCCACTAACACTACTTCTTCTACTCGGTTGCTGCTATTGCTGGTACTACTATATAATATACTATTACCAACATTTATGTAGCCGTCTTACCAGAACAGTACATCTTTATGGTTTCTACTGTACTAAACTGAATGTATCTGCCGGGTTTAAGCGCGAGTATGGGCGCGTGCGCACGGGTTCACGCGTGTCCCTGCCCTTGTGCTATGATCCGGCGCGTGGACAGAGACACACACTGCATCCCTCTCTTTCACACACACGCACACACAGAAAGAGAGAGAGAGAGAGAGAGAGAGAGAGAGAGAGAGAGGAGGCGGAAACCTCCATCTGCCCTGCTCGGTGACCGACCCGTCATCCTCGGGTACGGGGAAGAAACGGACCATCTCCTCACCGTTTAATTTTTCTCCACACCGTGAATGAGGAAACTGAGGGAGAAACCCGAGAGGAGAATGTGACAAAAGAAGGAGAAAAGGAAGGGAGTTTAACGTGGAAGAAATGTATAGTCTATATATAGGCTATGCCCCGAACTGCACCACCACCGCCACCGACGCCACCTGCCCTCCTGGTACCGGTAAGTCACGGAGGAAAGATGAGCTAGGAGCTATTTGTCAGTCCCGGGGCGGGTTAGTGCTAGCAATGGCCGGTTATCGATGCTAACTGACCCATGAAAATGACTTTTGAGGTCTCGTGAGGTCGGGTTACCGTTCAGCCATGTTGCGGGAGAGCGAGAGGGACGGCGGAGAGGGGGGGGGGGGGGGGGGGAGTGCGGGGTAACGACTGGGCTCTTGACACCTGCCCTCGTTCCCGGTCACTGGAGGAGGGAAAAATACGTTAAAAATTTCTGAATTTGCGGGTAAGCGTCACTAAAGAGCCAACCGCCACCGCACGCCGGGAAATGACTTTCTGACTCGGTGTGTCGGGGAGTCTGAGTGTTGTTCAGCCATGTTGCAGGGGGAGGGAGAGATAACTAGCTAACGGTGGGGCTCCGGGGGTTTTGACACCGAGCGACACCGCGGGGAGCGGAGGGAGGGGGGGTTGTGGAGAAAACTGGTGCCCGGTCATTCACGCTCTCCTGTCGGATGCGGATGAGACGGCAGCAGCGGCGCCCCGTACCCGTGTCGCCTAGAGACGGAGGCAGGAGGCTGAACAAAACGGGGTCGACGAGGGTATCGAGTGAACCGGGGCGATGAACCGGCTGTGGTTAATATTATTTAATTTAAAAAATTAGATTTAATACATTTTAAAAATTTAATTAATAAAAAAAATTATGAAATATTTCGATTTTCCCATGAACAAATGGAGGCCAACAAATAAATTAACTATTTTTAATATGTTGATTTAATTTTTCTTTTTATATTTTTCACATTTTATTTTGTTGATCACTTATTTAAATTAATTAATTAGTAAATTCATTATTTATTTGTCCTAATGTAACAATATGAGGCTAAAATGTAAACATTTTTGGATGCTCTACATATTTATTTAATTTAATTTTAGTTTTATATTCTATAAACTCAACCTGCTTAATATGGGAAATATTTGTTTCATATTTTTTTTACTTTTTTTCTTTATAAATATTTTTTTAAATATACAGTACATTTAAAATACAATAGCAGAAATAGAATATTAAATTACCAATACTTTATTTGTTGCCTTTTGATGAGGTGGCTGTGCTTTTTCCTATTCAACAATAATGTCATAATATAATTTTTACCCTTTAAATTATATACATTTTAGGATGGTTTATGTGTTACGTAGTCTTTTTTTGTATTTCGGTGGCAGTGCAAGAAGTGATCACGAATAACAGCTGGTGGCAGGTGGAAGTGGTTATTGATGATTATTGATCATAATTGATGATTGTTTGTATGGTGAAGGTCAGGTCAGGAGACAACACAGTAGGGTCTGTTACCATGACGATAACAGGACTGATTTATCCCCTTATTATTGGGCCATATCCATTCAATAATTTATTAATTCACAGATTCACTTTGTTCATTTTCCTTTTCTTCTTCTTCTCCTTCCTTCATCTCTCCCTCTGTCTCCATCCTCTTCTGTCCCAATGCCCTTCGTCCTTTGCTGTTTCTGTCTCTTTTTCTCTCTCTTCCTCCCTCAATCCATCTTCTTTCCTCCCTCTCCTCCTCGTTCACCTCCTTTCCCTCCATCCGTCTCTTTCTCTCTCTTTCAGGTCAATGAGAGGCAGCAACAGCTCAGTCTGAACAGCAGATCCTCCCTCGTGCTCTCTCTCTCTCTCTCCAGTTTCTCCTTTACCTCGATCTCCCCTTTTTTTTCTCTCTATCATGCTCTCCTCACTTCCATATGTTAAAAAACAGTCGTCTTATTTTAGCAACACTGCCTTCCTCCTCCTCTTCTTCCTCCTCTTCCTTCTCTCTTGCCCTCCTCTCTTCTGAGTTTTGACTCCCTCTCCTTTCACACACACACACACACACACACACACTGGAAAATGAAGCGTGGGTCGAGTGTGTTGCAGCCTCCCTCTGATGCAGCCAAACGACACACACACCCTGCAAACACACACACAAAGACAAACACCAGTGATGGCGCTCGCTCGCTGAATGTGCCCGACACACACGCTGAACACACACCGGATGCACACGCCACAGGTTCGAGTCCCTTCCCAGCAGCCACCTCTCTCTTCAGCCCTGATGTCAGCACCAAGATGGCGTCCGACCTCCTCATCCGGCTGTCAGGTAGCACAAACACACAGACACATTCATGAGCACATATTTGCTCCTACATACGTACATGTGCACATATAGCATACAGCATACAGTTCTGTAGTCAAGAATAGTCGATTAATGAAATAGTAAATTGACAGAAAATTTATCAATAACATATGTAATTGATTAACAGTTTATGTCAGTTATTAAGCAAAAATGTCAAGCAAAGTCATTCTTACAGACAGTATGTGATCATTTGCCTATTATTTGACATTCAAAGGACTAAACATTTAATTGATTAACCAAACCATTAATCAACGCATTCATTGATAATGAAAATAATTGTTAGTTTTCACAATATTGCCAAAAGTTTGTGGACAGCGACTGTTTTTTTTCTGGTTTGGGTGCCTTTGTTACAGTGAAGCCAAATCTTTATGTTATAGTATACAATGATATTTTAGGTAATAGTGTGCTTAGAACTTTGTGTCAACACTTTGTGTTTGTCCCATTCCTGTTTCAAAATTAAAATTCCCTGTTGGGCCCAGAGCCCTGACCTCAACCCCAACCGACACCTTTGGGGTAAACTTTAATGGCGACTGCGAGCCAGACCGTACACATCAAGTTTCCTAGTTGTAATTACTACTTGGATGTAGATGTGAATGCTATTTTTACTCTGCTATGAGATGAAATTCACCCAACATCATCACTAATGCTCATGTGGCTGAATGGGAGCAAATTCCTGAAGCCATTAGTGCCGCAATGAGCGATTAATGGGTTTGAGTCATTTTCAGCTTCTTGAATGTGAATATTTTTCTTTACTTCTCTATGACAGTAAACTGAAAGTCTTTGAGTTGTGGACAAAACAAGACATTCGAGGACGTAATCTTGGGCTTTGGGAAACACTGCTCAACATATTTCACATTTTTCTGACGTTTTATAGACCAAACAACTTAATCGACAGATTAGTTGACAATGAAAATAATTGTTGCAGCCTGGTTCAAACATCTGGTGGAAAACCTGAAAGCAGAAGAGCGGAGGTTTTAGTAGTGGATTAATGCTCATAGTTTTGTTCAACAATCACATATGGGAGTAATATTCAGGTGTCCATATACTTTTGGCCATGTAGTGTGCAAACCTGTGCTCTCATGGTGAGCTGAGTGCAGTTATCACGCTGTAATGTGAACTCTACTGTAATCTATTTACAGTTAACTTGAATCAAATCACACTCACACAGCTCGATTCCCACTCTCCCTCCCTCTCACTCTCTCTGGCTCCCTCTCTCTCTCTCTCTCTCTCTCTCTCTCTCTCTCTCTCTCTCATATCAGAGGCCACCCAGAAGGCCCAGGTGCTTCCTGGGAGGCAAGCGGAGGCGGAGCCGCAGAGACGTGAGGCCCTGCCGGAGGTACGCGGTGGGCAGCAGGACGAGCCCGGCCTGGCTCTCTCACCGGACGGCCCCGGGGCGAGTCCTGAGCCTCCGTGCCTGTCACACACACCTGATGGCACAGCTGCCACGGACACACTGGCTTCAGACATGCTGAGGAAGCTGGCAGGTACAGCTGGGTGTTTATGTAACGCTGTAGGTGACACCAGTGGTCAGTTTATCGTGAATGAAATCGTGCTGGTTAACAAGCTGTATTTAAAGGTACAATATGTAACTTTTCCATGTTAAAATGTCTGATAACAACCAGATCTATGTTATATATTTTGTTGAGCTGTGTACTTCAACATTATTCCAAATGTTAAAGTACAATTTTCAAACCCAGAGAAATATGTCATTTTAATCACAGTAACGGTGCGTTTCATTTGGTTACCTGTCAGTAGCGTCATTTCCGGGAGAAGCTGAGAGCATTGGGGTAAAAACAACCACTCCCTACTTTATGACGTCTTCATGATGTCTTTCCTTATTGTGTTGGTGTGAGGGACCTCTAGCAAAAATTACATACAGTGCATTTAAATCAATATTAGTGATGTTGGTTAGTGTGTTTAATTATACACCTTTACTGTGAGAAGAATTTGTAATACAGTTTATCCCCTTAATAATTCTGGTTGTATTGGGCTATTGTAAGCAATGTTGCAAATCATTGAGCAGGATTTCTTTATGGCACTATCTGATATGTATATAACTTTTCATCCAAGTGATAAAGTGCCTTGATTTGCTGGTTATCCATAAACAGTTTCTGAGCTGATTTTCCATTTTCCAAATTTACATCACAAAATAAAATTGCATACCATAAAGAAGGATTTTATTTATAACACCATCTACAATGCTGTGTTGAAATTAGTTTTTATTACGGTTACTCTGCTATATTCAGATGTAATAAAATAGTTATTATTGTGTAAGAATACAAAAATTAGACACCACAATGTTGTGACCTTCCATCTAGGGCTGCAACTGACAATTAGTTAAATTAATGATTGATCTGTTGATTATTTGTCTCAGTAATTTAACGGCCCATCACAAGTTCTCAGAGCTCAAGGTAATGTCTTCAAATATCTTAATTTGTCCACCTAACAGGCCAAAACCAAAAGAAGACTCTATACTTTAAACTTTAAATTGCATTGTGAATTGAGTATTAATTATATATTACATCTCTGACAGCAGGTGAATAAACACACTGACAGATTTTCCACCAATCACAGAACGCCAGGAGGTGAACAGCCATGTGGTGAAGGTCAAAGAAGAAGAAGAGCCAATGGAGGTCGACACATTGGTTGTCTCTGACCTTGTCCATAATCGACCAGTCACAAAAGAGATAACCCCACCTTCCCCTAAGGTGGCGAGCCGGCATCTCTTCAGCATAAAAACAGAACACCAGGGTCTCAGTGGCAACAAGATGGCAGAGCAGTTGCACCTCGGAGCCAAAATGGCAGACCAGTGTCTCCACAGCCTTAAAATAGAAGACAGATTTTATACTGGAGGCTGCCAGCCTGGCTCTAAGACAGCGGACAGCGTTGTCTCTGGGGCCAACAACTTTCAGTTCAGAGTGAAAATGGAGGATCATGGCGCCACCGCAACCAAGATGGCGGACCAGCTTCTCTTTAGAGCAAATATTGCAGAGCAGCCTGTCTCTGCTGCCAAGATGAGCAACAAGATTCTCTCTGGAGTCAAGATGGAGGACCAGTTTCCTGCAGGAGCTAAGCTCGAAAAACCCCTTCTCTTAGGGACCAAAAAGGAGAACTGGCTTCTCCCTGGAGCCAAGATGGCAGACCACGTTTTCTCAGGAGTGAAGACAGAAGAGCAGCTCTTCTTTGGAGCCAAGATGGAAGATCAGTTCACCTCTGGAGCCAAGATGGCCGACCAGTGCCTCAGAGCCGTGCTGTGGCAGGACATGTCCGTGAACCTAGCGTCCACGCTGCTGCACCAGCTGTCAGGTAACACACAAACACATCTTCTCACGCTCCTGATTCACTTTCACTGATTCAGATTCAGTTTTTTGCCAAAACACAGTGTGGAGGACATGTGAGACAGGAGGGTGATTTGCTGGCAGGGTGGAGAGGATTTCCCCCTCTCTGGTCTCTGTCCAGGAGAAGGAAAATGATTCCCTAATGGATTTATACTTCTTCTTCAAACTTCAGTAAGCACAATACAACAACTTGCCGCAGCACAAAGACGCCTTTTACTGACAGTGTTTATATAGTGATAGTCAGGGCTTAAAGCAAGAAATTTTTCTGTGCCTCAAATGTGTTCGGGGGGTTTACGAAAGATGGAGGATAGCGGGCAAGAGCGTAACTTTGTATTGAAAACTGACGGGGACATAGGGACTCAGATTAGGGTTCTGACATACACTTAGCTCACGAAACATGAAGAAACACAATTCTGGGTTCACAAGAAAAAGACAAGAAGATAATTGTACACTGGTTTGATAAAACATGTGTAAATATATGAAGGGGGGTCTTGATTTTGATTTTGAGCATTAAACAGTTCATTTCCTGCATTTTGGTAACATTTTCTGCCACCATCTATAATCAGTGCTTGAAGTGGAAAATATAGGTGCTGGGCAATATGGCTGAAAATGTTACCACAATAAAACATTTCACATCATTCAATATTGATTATTCTTAGGAAAATGTCAAATCATTATAAGGCAGATTTTTGCTCCCGAGTGAAAGCTGAAGAAACCAGATAGTTAATTGTGGTTTTAAACTATTTTTATGGTCAGAACAAACACTTAATTTTTTACTAGGCCTATTTAAAATGATATTTGATTGAGCACATCCTCTCGCTCATCCCCCTCTCTCTCCCTCATGAACACCGCTGCACAAATCTGTCCCACACAACGCTGTGGGACGCCTAGCTTAAAAAAAGTTATTAGCAAGCACGTAATTAAGGAGCTAATAAGGAAAGCTAAGTTAACGTTAGAATACAGCTGGGTTGTCGAGGTTAGCACGTTGTTTCTATCTGGTGCCACAGTTACACTGTCATTCTCTGGGAAACACTGGGATCACTTAACAAATCTGAGGTAAAACGTGCAAAACTTAAATTATGGTCAAGTAAATTTCAACTAAGTAATATTTTTTCAGTCCCTTTTCCTCAACAAGGTAAAGTGCTGATTTGTGCGTGATTCAAATGAATTAAATCAAACACATAAACATTTGTTATATTGTTATTGAGGAAAATTATGTTGCAATAATTATTATTATTGTTGTTTTATTGCCCAGCCCTGCTGGTACTCCCCGTTCACATGGGAGCTCACGGCTGCATGAAAGGCACCGAGCTTCCACCTGCTCCGTCTCCGCCGACAGAGATTAGCAAACAGGCGAGAATGGGAACAGATGAGCGCCACATAGAGCCCACCGGTGCGCAAGAAAAGTCCCGGGACGACTAAAATGTAGAAGTAACTTACTGGTGGCCCACTTCAAGCACTGCATATTATCAATTATGGAGTACGGCTTCACTTATCTGTGAAGCCGTACTCCATAATACTCCAACGGCGGATTACATTCCGACAAAAATGGCAAATTGTTACGTTAGCAAAGGTCCAGACGATCCAATCCAGTAAAATATTTAGTCCAAAAAGCATTATTATGTCAATGAATACACATCGACTGCTATTGCGTCGCTTTATATTAGCCTAACTACAGCTAGGATGTAAACAAAAAACACGTCTACACCACATGTTGACCTTGTGAGTGACACCTTAATTGACCCAATAGAAACTTCTATGCCCTGTCCACGGCCTACAATAACCAATGAGTGTCCACGTCGCCAGGAAGTGCCAGTCCCATTTCTTTCGGGCGCTTCACACACACCTAATACGAGACAGTTAAAGAATATGCAAGAATATTTTCCAGACATATTTATATATTGTCGAATACAAAAACGCCTTTAAGCCCTGGATAGTGACAGTCTGAGAGATTGAAACTACCCTCATGACCACATTTATAGACTACAATTCATAATATTCCTTTGAAAGAACAGTCATCAAAGCTGTTAAATTATAATATTACAATTTTCAAGTGCGTCTTAAAACTAGGGCTGCAGCAAACTAGCGATTATTTTCTAATCGACAAGTTGTTTGATCCATAAAATGTCAGACAGTTGGTGAAAAATGTTGATCAGTGTTTCCCAAAGCCCAAGATGGAAGTCCTCTAACATCTTGTTTTGTCTACAACCCAAAGAGATTCAGGTTACTGCCATAGAGGATAAAAAACAGTATATATAGTATAATATTTAAGAAGCTTCATATTAACTTCACAAAAACGTTTGCATGTAAGGAGGACTGTAGATTTTGTGTACAGTGTTCACGTGGGCACCTGACTGTTGTTTTAAGACACACTTGAAAAATGTGAACATTTCCTTTTAAGTGGCATCCTGGTCTACGGGTTTAAGACACCGACCCTATAATCACGTTTCTGGTTTGAGTCTGACACGGGACCTTTTGTCATTCTATGTTCATAATAATAATGATGATAATAATAATAATGATAATAATATTTATTTATATAGTAGTTATCAAAAGCAGAGATTAATAAGTGCTTTACAAGGCTAAAAAAAATATGCATTCAATCTATTTCATATATAAATAAACCACCTGCGTACACACATGAAGACAAATTAAGGCAAGATGAATAAGGTTAATAAAAATGCTTAAAAGAGGTTTTAAAAAGAACTTCGGCAGCAATTCAAAAGAAGATGTAGCTCCTCTCACTTCCTGTTCACCTATCAAGTCACAAAAAGAACCTGTTTAAGTTATTTATTCGTTTTAGTATCATGTTCATGTTTTAAAATAAATAAAATGTTGCTTTTGTTTCTGATACAGATCCAGTTTTTAATAACACAATAAATACACATGAATGAGTTTGTGTTTGATGGATCTGAATGAACTCTGATCTGTGTTTCTGCAGAGAGGGTCAGTAAATCCAACAGTCGGCTGGGGGAGAGGACGACTCCGCCCATCAGAAGCAGGTAACATCACACTTCACAGCATCAGTCGATGATCCCACGTGGACACTTTGACCTCTGGCCTGCTATGTTTTGACTATACGTGTGCACGACTGTGTGTGTGTGTGTGTGTGTGTGTGTGTGTTACCCTTGCTGTAGTCCTGTTTTGAAGGTGAATGTGGACTCTTCATCGCTTCTGAGCTCCCAGGATCCTCCACATGGTAATATACTGCACACACACAGACACACAGACACACACAGATACAGTAGGTGGTGTGAGTAGCTGCATTAGACACCATCACGGTGCTTAGATAAAAATACAGAGCTCGTGTGTGAGAAACAAGCTGTTTTGCTCGAGGAGGCGTAGATCTTTGAGTGTTGATCGCTGTCTCATGGGAGTGTTTTTGTAATCACGTACTGAGTCAAGGTTGTGCTCATCGTTGATGCGTTCGCTTGCCAATCACAGTGTTATAGGCATTAATGAGAAATGACACTGTCAGTCAGAGTGGAAGGATTAAAGCACGTTTCCACCAAAGCTCTGATCTAATTGAAATTACAGTGAGTAGCAGGGCATGATGTCACAGACGAGAACAGCCTTTTTAAAACAGGATTAATCTACGATCAACTATCCATCATTCAGATTAATTATCACTTTCATTTTGGGGTAGTGTGACGCCCAGTGGTGGAAAGTAACAAAGTACATTGGCCCAAAGTGCTGCATATAAGTACAATTTTGAGGTTTTTGCACTTTTCCATTTTCTGCTACTTGAGACTTTCACTTCTCGACATTTTTGTTTTTTTCAATGGCAGATATTTAGGGAGCAAACCAAAACAAAGAGAAGTCATGTGTAATTCTGTTATCCCTAGAGTATACATTCAAATATACATGTTATCTCAAAGTAATGTGTTGTTTTAGATGGAAGCTTTATTAATGAGTGAAAGAGAAACACAGATTGGGTTCTGCTGAAGATTTCATAACGGACGAGTGGGGTACAGTTTGTCAGAAGTGACGTCATTCAGCTGCGTTATTCTCTACAGTATAACAATATATATTTAATGCTAGCCAGTAATGGTTTTAGATTAGATCTGCTGTCATTTAGGGAATGAGTCCTTACTCCAAGTGAGAGAGTTCAAGTAGCTCGCGGTCTTGTTTGTGACTGAGGGGACAATGGAGCGGAGATTGGCCAGAGAATCGGAGCAGTGGGGGCGGTTTTGCATTTGCTCTGCTGCGCCATTGTGATAAAAATAGAAATTTCGTGGCTGCTAAGGTCATGAAGGCTGGGTCATGTCAGAAAAAACTAGATCGCGGGTACAAGCACCCAAAATGGGTTTCCCCAGGAAGGTGGCTGGCGTCTCCCTTAGAGATAGGGTGAGAAGCCGAGTCGTCTGTGAGGAACTCAGAACTCAACTGGATCCTTTCGACTTCTTTGTGTCAAAGGGATCCACTTGAGGTGGTTCGAGAATCTAGCAAGGATGCCCCCTGGGCACGTCCAGCTGGGAGGAGGGCTCGGTGAAGACCCAGGACTCAGTGGAGAGATTATATCTCCACACTGGCCCGGGAACGCCTTGGGATCCCCCAATCAGAGCTGGTTAATGTGGCTCGGGAAAGGGAGGTTTAGGGTTCCCTGAGCTGTTGCCCCTGCGATCGGCTGAGGATGGATGGATGGTTAGTTGTCATTTAGGAAACGATTATGGTGACTGAGGATGTTTCGGACTCCAAATTAACTTTTTACACCACCTTCCCAAAACTCTCAAGGTCACACTGACAAGGCTGCCTGCAGAGACATTTTTTGTTTGTCGGCCTTGTGAGTGATGATTATCTCAAAATGCCAGATAATAGGCCTGATTTATTGGTCTATCATATCAATACTGTACTTTTTACTGCACTACATTTATTTGATATATTTTGTTACGTTGCAGATTCAGATTAATAATACAAAATGTAGTCAATAAATAAAAATGATGATGTATGTAAGTAAGTTTTTTATTTATAAGGTCTTTTTAACAGGAACAAGCAAGCTCAGGCAGAGCAGCAGAGGAGGGACACAGTACAATATGGATAACCTTGATGATGCAAATGATGAAATTATTAGTGATGATGTCTTACTGTAGGGTTCTTACGTCACATGCAATATTTGGTGTTCAGATAGAAAAACCTTGTGGTGCAGTCAGAACGGATTTCGTATAGGGGTCGACTGATATGTTTTTTTTCCGGGCCGATCCCGATACCGATTATTAGTAACCAATTAGCTCGATGAACGATATTTGGAAGCGACATTTGCTGAAAATTTTTTAATCTTGGTGTGAAAAACAATACAAACTCCAACACAAATCTTTGTTAAAAATAACAATTAATTACTGTTAAAAATAACAGTTAATTGTCATGTTTAATCTTTATAAATAGTAAATTAAATGAATTGATGAGATGGACTTAACTATGAGTGATAAATTATCATAAACTTTGACTTTACTGGCTGCCATTTATATTGTATTTATTTTATATTGTTAGGATTTTATTGATACTATTTATTTGATCTGTACTCTTATAGGATTTTCATTATGAAATAAATGCCTTTAAAAAATATGTTATTTAAAAAAGAATAGATTCAGAACAGTAATCAAATTTAATATTTTATTATAACTGTTTTCAGAGCAGCAAAGTCACCATATAGTCACTGGAAACAAATGGAACATGTTAAATAAACTATATTCCTGACATCAAAATACAGTTTAGTTTGAAGACGGCAGTCCTCCTCCTCCCTCTGCTGCTGCTGTAGAGAGGACCTGGTTTCTCTCAACAAGCAGCTGAGTTTACAAGGAAAAATTTTAAGGTACGTAGCATCTCAGCTGAACAGGCTACAGACAGAGAGATTTCGTCTTACCTTGTTTATGACAAACTAGATATTAGCCGAGATAGCACATGTGTAAAACCAAAACACAGCTGCGGTGGATGAGACAGAGCAGATTAAATATCGCTCTGTGCACGTTCCTGCTTGTCGTACTGATGCAGTATCAGCCTTTTACTAGTACTGCTGGTTTTGCTGCACTTACTTACAATAACGGGGGTAGTTATGGTCAACTTGTGTAATATACACTGATCTCTGCTTACTTCACCCCGCATGTGTATGCGGAGCTCTGTTGAGAGAGGAGGGGAGGGGCTGCAGCATGATGGCTCGTTCTATTGGCTGCTTCCACACACTAGTCAGTGTTGATAGGCTATTGCTCGTGACTTGTAACCAATCAGCTAGTTCTGTGGTGAGTACAGACAGAGAGAGGCGGCTGTATCACAGCCAATTTTTTTATTAATTAATTATTTCGCCTATCTGTTTTTAAAATGACCTATGCAGATTATTGGAAGAATGCTGAATATCAGCGCCGATAATCGGCCAGACCGATTATTGGCCGACCCCTAATTTTGTCTACCAATCAATTTTGAACTGAATTTAAACGGAGGTTATTAGTCGTGAACTGACTAACCTCCAGAGTTCAAACAGATTTAACTGTGACATGTGAAATTGCGAGGCTCTTCAGTGTTCAGCGTGTGTGAGAGAGGGCGTGGGACTGACCTCTCATTCAGGAAATATTGATTTTTTATGATCTTGCTTTATGACTGCATGCCAAAAATATTCCAAGCAGCAAGCAGAGAAGAAGAGGCTCCGCGAGGCTGCAGTGAGTCCTAGACAGTGACCCAGGTTAACAAAAAGTAACCGCAGTTCATGTTTACATCCCTACCTACGCTGTTTCCTGTTCCCCTTCTGCTTTTCTACACACCGGTACATTTCACCTGGCGAAATCCAGCATGACTGTTAGCTACAGGAAGCACAAGTGGCTGCATTAGTTTGCAGGCTCTGGTGAGACATAATAATAATTTGAAGGTTTATTAGACACCAGAAGGCTGCGCGAGCAGTTTAATAATCCTCTGACGCATGATTTTACAACTGAAAATTATTATTCTTTAAACGATCGCTAGGTAAACAGAAATATATCTGTGAGGATTCTCCGTTTATCCAGGTCACAGTGATCCAAGGAGGGTTAAATCAAGGGCATCTGGACTTGGTTCGATTAATCAAGTCCAGATGCCCTTGATTTAACCCTCCTTGGATAGTAGAAATATGATGTTCACGGTACAAAGTACCATGACTGTGAGCTTACTTACGCATTTTATTGCCTTGCTGGATGACGTTGCCAAATATTGAGCCAAAATCTTTGGTCGGAGCCCTAAGCGTGTCCTCTGCTCAGACAGAGGAGGTCATCTGAGCTCATTATATTATTTGGAAATAATTATCACCCTCTGTATAACTCTGATTCCACTTTCTTCCTTTAGGTAGCTGCCACAGGCTGCCTCAAAAACATTTTCATACCCGCTGCACTGACATCACTAAATGAGCACTTTTGGGGCGTTTAGTTTGCCTGCAGTGTTTTTAATGCAGCCTTATTGTTATTATTATTACTTTTTAATGATTGTCTTTCAGTGTCTGTGTTATGGATGTGTGCAGCCACCAGATTGCCCTTTGGGTTTATAATAAAGGTAGTCTGACTAAACACACACACTCGCAGCAGACAGTCACAGAGAAGTTTACCAATAATAACTTCCGGGGGTACACATCATTAGTAGACTTTGGAGTGCACATTAAAAAAAATAAAGAAAGATGTGGCAACGGAAGATTTATTTCATGAACAACTCTCTTTCTTTTTTTTTATTCTCACAGAAACCCAAAGCAGCCTCAGCAGAGATCAAACCACAGGTTGCTCTTACTTCTACAGGTAACACAAACACACACGTTTGTACCACTATGCTTATGAGGACCGTACTGGATTCCCTGGTCTCTGACCCAAACCATAACCCTAAAATCATCAAACAGGCCTTTGAAGAAGTGACGACTGTCTGAGTTCTTCATTCTTTCTAAACTTCTCTCAGTATTTTGAAATCAGGAATATTATTTTACTCACATTTTAGATTTGTTATTGTTGAGTTTATATAGTGACTTTGCTGGAGCTGCTCTAAAAAAACATATTATTTAAAATCTAAATAAATTCTAACCCTGTCAAAATAGCGAGTATAAAGAACAGGCCAATAAGAGTGTGGATAAGGTAAAGACACAGTGCTAATGATAACCCCCTACAGCTGTTTAACACATGTTATTTTGTGATTTTTTTTTTTTTTATGGCACACAAAAATGTAGGGATTATTTTCATTGTTGATTAATCTGTCACTTATTTTCACGTAGGGCTGGGCAATGTGGCCAAAAGTGTTATCTATAAAATAAAATAAAAATGATAATATTATTTGATTTGATGATTGATAAATATCTCGATAAATGTCAAATCAGTATTTCTTTTAAGTTTAAAGGCTCCTGAGTGAACTGTGGTTTAAACTCTTCTTGCTTCCCAAATCTGAGGTAGAACATTCAAAATAAAGAGAGTAAAAACCTTTTTTCAACAAATATGCATGAGTAAAATCAAGTCAAATCTTTTTTCAGTCCCTTTTCCTCAACAACAGAAATATCTGTTCTGATTAGTTTGTGATTCAAATGAGTTAAATGAAACATTTTTTGATTATTGTTATATTGTTGTTGTGGAAAATGATATTGCGATAATGATCATTATTGTTTTATTTTCCAGCTGTAGTTTCTCGATTAATCGATTAGTTGTTTTTTTCAATAAAATGTCAGAAAATGCTGAAAAATGTTGATCAGTGAAAATCCCAAGATGACGTCCTCAAATGTCCACAACTCAAAGATATTCACTTTACCGTCATAGCGGAGTAACGAAACCAAAATATATTCACAATTAAGAAACTGGAATCAGAGAAACTTTTCAAGGACTTTTTTTACTTAAAAATTACACAAATCAACTAGTCAATTATCTTTATTGTCATTGTATAAAATAAACAACAGCAAAGCATCTCCATTGGGTTACATGTGTCACATATACATAGAATAAAGTGTTAAAAATAAGATTATGATAGAATAATAGTTATTAAACATAGATAGATCCTAAAAAGATGGTTGACTCTTATTTACACTAAAAATAATAAGATAGTTTCACACAGTTATCAATACTAAATCCTGTCAAATTATTCAGGTGCAAAGTAGCACATGCTGTAAATATAAAGGTGTTAGTTTTATCAAAATCATTGCAGCTCTACAAAAATGTGAAGGGTGCTCACTTTCTTCAATTGTTTCACTTTTTTTCTTGTTAATGTCTGAGTGAAAAACTTTTTAATATTGTAATGATAATTGTATAAACTTATGTTAAAATGTAAAGCTAACATCAAATTCCCCCAGACCCCACGACCACGCGCTCCCCCCACAGCACGCACCACGCCATCCTCTGCTTTTTTGTCCTTAGCCAATCACATGCCTGCTAGATATATGACGTGCTGTTGAAAAGCCTGGATTTTCAGTCAATTGTGTTTTATTTTATTTGTTTTTACTAAGCAGTAAAAGATGGAAGTAGTAGCAGTTGTACACAACATCTCTGTCGATCAAATATCTTCTGCTGCAACACCTAATAACCTGCCTCTCCACCTCCAGGTGTCATGTGTGCGGTTTTGAGACGGACAGGCGTGCCCTTTTCCACAGTCACATGACAGAACACCGCCAATGGGAGCACGGCTCCTTCTCGCTGCACTGCAGCGTGTGCGACCACTCGACCAATCAGGAGGCAGAGATGAGGGCTCACGCCAGCACGCACTTGAATGGGAACACGGGAGCCAGCGGAGATGTGAGGTGGGCTCACTTTAAATGTTTTTCAACATAAACAAATATTTTTGATAGCGATCTCTTCAGTTCAGTTCTTAAAAAGCTGTAACCAACATGCATTAAATTATGTATTGAGTGCTGTGACTTTTAGCACCACTGAAAAATTAAGATTTCTAAGGAAAATAAAATTAGAAATATAAAATAAAATTTTCAGAAAAAGACAAAATCTTGTAAAAAAGTTGTAATCTTTAGAAAAAAAACATCTAATATTTATGCACAGTGAATATTTAGTTATAATACTGTTTTTGATCAATGTTTGACTTAAATCTCAAAAAATTATGACTGTTTTACTTTTGAATTGTTGACTCTTGAATTAATAATGAAAAGGTATTTTTTCTCTAAAATACTACTTTAATTTCATAACATTAAAAAAAAAGATTTAAATCTCATGATCTCAGATTTAACTAACAAGTACTCATTTTACAATAAAAAAAGAACAACTATGTAACTCATCTTTTGGTATTTCTGTTCTGAGTTTCTTGCCATGTAGCTGCAGACAGACATACGGATAGTGATGTGTCTACATGAGCTAAAATCATGCCATGCGGATATATTTCACTCAGACTCTTGGCTTCAAATAAATGTTTATAAATGAAAACGCTGACTGTCTAATACTTCTGTCTATGTACATGTTTTTATTTCCCACTTGCAGACATTTGGTAATGTCTGTTTCCCATGCCAATAAAGCCCCATTAACATGAATTTAACTGAGAAAACAAAATGTTTTATAAGATTTAACGCTTCTTCCAGGGATTTCTTGCCATGGCACATTTGTTTTAATTTTTACCAGCAGTGTGTAACTCCTCATCACGCTGTGGAACAATACTTTTCACAGCACACATTGTAACGTGTCGTATTGTGTTTACTGCTAACACAAACAATGGCCCCATCCCATTCAAGTGTCCCTGTAAGTCATGACAGTGTGACAGTAAGTAGGCTTGGGTATCGAGAACCGGTTTTAAACTGGAACTTTTACCACATTTCCAAGAACCGTGGATTTGATTCGAATCTGCTTTGGTTCCTAACTTTTTTCATATTTGAGTCGCGCTCCCGATTGAACTGCAGTGAGCATTTTACAATCCATACAAGTTACACGTATCTGCCAGGACCTGCTGCGCCGACCTAACATCCTTAAAAAGAGAACGACACAGCAAAATGCAACACCTGCAGTAAGGATGTTTGGTGCGAGGGAGGAATGCTGCTCCAATATGAACGAAGGATTTACCTCAACACAGCGTGAAGGAACGCACCACGTTCATTAAGTCGCGCTATCTCAGCTACATTGATGCTACAGAAACAGCTAACGCTAACAGTAGCAACGTCCCACACTCAGATACAAAACACAGATGAGCTGACGTTCTCCGTTTATACTGACGGGAAACAAATGAAGTCAACAGATTATTCCAATATTTTTTTTTTAGATACGAGTCCCCAGAGACGCCCCTAAAACAGAAACTGCTTTCACTTTAGCCATGAAGAGGAAGATGAGCAGAGAGGAAGAGGATGAATGTCACCGAGCGCTGACAAGATCTGTGGTGAATCAGAACCGAGATTCGATAAGGACCATTTTCAATAAGTAGAATCAGAATCGCTGAAATTGAAACAATGTGACAGCAGTGAGTGGCGGTCGCATCAGTCAAAGTTACTGAAAACGTGTGTGTGTGTGTTTGATTGTCTTTAAATGAACAAATAATTAAATCATCTGCATACATCCTGGCATATCAGTCTCTCCAGGATTTCGAAATGTCACAATCGCAACTATTAAATTCAACAAATCTCTGTGAATTGAGTTGGAGCACGGCTTGCATTTTTGACCAGTCACCACAACTTTTCCACAAGTTTGACCTATCATCACCATTTCCCAAAATATGTTGCCATACGTCAGTTTGTCACTTGTCACAGACGTGTGATATCAGCGTCTCACATTTGCCAACAAAAAAAAGTACTGTGAAAAACAATATCCAGATTCTTTACCAAAGCGATGCAACTGATGCAAAATGTGCAGTCGAACCAAGCGGGAAGCTTCCGGTCAGCGATCTGATGCGAACAACAAGTCCCATTTAACCTGCACTCTATTGAACGTCCAGCAGGGGGCGACTCTTCTGGTTGCAAAAAGAAGCTTGGCTCCGTTATATGATTTTATGGTCTCAATCACTAGTTTCACGTCTTCTTTAATACAACATAATGTTAATTTAGAAAATTATGGTCCTATTTACAGGAAAATAGACCATAAGGCAGAGTATGCTTCAGGGTAAGATTATCCATGATTGACAAGTCGTTACCATGGTGACCTGTCAATCAGGCTAGAGTGACTCGTACCCACGGCACTGTGTAAATTTAACCAGCGCCGTTGAAAAGCGTATTAGGAGTTGGCCGTTCATTTTCTCTGGTGAGTGTATTTACTTTTAAGACTAAATTGACAACTTTGTTAAAATGACAGTTAACGTGAATTACAGATGCACCTAGCTAAGCATGCTAGCTAGTTCCGCACACGGCCATTAGCGCCGCCGTCTCGTCCAAATATGGTCACGTCCGGTGCCACTGGTTGAAAAAAATTTACATGGCGGTGCCCTATCAGCCAAACTCGAGCCTTCAAAACAGCAGTCCACAAACCAACGGGTGACGTCACGATGACTACCTTCACTTCTTTTATGCAGTCAATGAATCGAAAATAAAAGAAACATGTCTATCGACAAACACTTTGCCACCACAAAACACGCAGAGAATGTCAGAAACACAAGGAGGACGTCAGACGAGACAAATCACTCTGACACAGGTTACTGCATCCTGGGCAATTGGAAGCGCTGAAATGATCAAAGTAAGCTGGTTTCAATGTGCAGGTTGGGGTTAGAACTGCAAGAGGAGTGTTTTTGTAGATCCTACTCCAACAGAGTTATACTTCTTCTGTGGTGAAACGATCCAGCTGATCAGATCACTTCAGCTTCAGGAGTCACTTTCTCACTGTTTCATTCAGCTTTTATTTGGATCAGAGCAGACCAATAATTTGAGATTATGAACTCAGTAGTTTGAACCAAAACAGCTATTTAGATTTGGTAAAAAACACGATTTAACAAGCTGCAGCTGTTATTTCAGTGTCAGGATCAAGTTTAATCAACCTTATTGGTTCGTTATTGGTAGTGTCCAAATCGATCGGGACCCAAACAGCCTGATCGGGACGTTTCTGTCGGAGAACATGTGGTCTTGGCCTGATTGAAGTCTGCAGGATCAGGCAGGTGTGTGTATTAACCCCTCTCTCCTCTCCTGACTCCCAGATGCCCCATCACCCCTCCTGCCGCCTCCACTGCCTCAAGCAGCGCTCCGTCAGTTGCTATGGCAACCCAGCCGGAGAACAGCGCCTCTGAGCACCGCTGCCGCATCTGCCAGAGTCGTTTCCAGGGCAACAGGAGCTGTTGGTTCACTTCCAGGGTCACCGCCAAGGCAACCAGTACCGGTGCGACCGGTGTGGCCACCTGACGCGGACAGCCAATAAGCTGGTAGAGCACGTGCGCGTGCACACAGGGGAGCGGCCGTTCACGTGCGACCTTTGCCCCTACAGCGCCAAGCGGAGGGACAGTCTGCGCCTCCACTGCAAGGTCAAACACCCAGGCGACGTGCACACGCACCGGTCGTACGTGCACGGAGACAATCAGCGTTCAAGCAAACACGTACAGCGGCTGCACACGCCGGCGAACACACACACTGCTGCACCCTCCTCCTCCTCTCTTCCTCCTCTTCACCCCTCACTCTCTGACCGGGCAGGGTGGAGGGATTTGTCTCCTCTCCTCCCCATCACGACGCTCATTTCTCTGAAACCACGCTCTCCTCCATCTTCCTCCTCCTCCTCCTCCTCTTTGTCGTCATCCACCAAACACTCCTTTCTCGGTTACCTTGGTCTGACGACTCCTGTGTAAATGCTTTTTCCCCCCTTTTCTCCTCCTCCTCCTCGTCTTCCTCTCCTGACCTTGTCTTCTCTCCCCTTCTCTCTTCTCCTCTCCTGATCTTGTTTCTTTCCTCTCATCTTTTCTTCTCTCCTTGTTTCCTTACATCTCTATTCCTCTCCTCTTTTTCTCTCCCATCCCTGTTTCTTCTCCTCTCCTCTTCTCTCCTTTCCTCTCATCCTCCTCACAGATCATTATTACCTCTCCTTGTGTCCTCTCCTTTTTTGCTTTCCTTCTCTCCTTTCCTCTCTTCTCCCCCTCTCTTTGCTTACTCTCGTTTCCTCTCCTCGATTCCTCTCCTTTTCTCCTTTCCTCTACTTGTTTGTCTCTCTTTGTTTCTCTCTTCTCTTCCTTTCCTCTCCTTGTCTCCTGTTCCCTTATCTCCTCCCTCCTCCTCTCCTCTCTTCTGTCCTCTTCTCTCCTCTCTTTGTTTCAGCGATCTCTCTCTTCTCCCCTCCTCCTCTTCTATCCATCGTCTTCGCTCCTCTCCTCCTTACCCCTCCTCTTCTCTCTTTGTTTCCTCCTCTCCTCTCTTTCCTCCTTCCTCTTCTATCCATCCTCTGGACTTTTGAAGTGGTGGATGTAAAGCTTTGTAATGTATCCAAGGTACTGTCACACTATGTATGAGAATGTCAATCAGCTCCTGTTATGCTCAATGCACTGAAAACACACAGATAAGGAACGTTTCGAATTTATTCAACTTTTGCATCATGCTCGTGATTTTTGCTGCATTCCTGCCTGCTTTTAGCCAAGTCATATAATCACTGAACTCTTAGCTATTTAATCGTGTGACCTATTTATTGCCTGTCTCTCTTGTCCTCCAGAAACCCTGCACTTAAGAAGTCCTCCTCTCACGCACGAGACGCTTTGCTGTAAAGGTCGTCTGTGATTCTGTTGTTTAGCTGTAGAGAAAATCACTGCTAAGACAAACTCATTTATCAGAAGATGTGAAACATTATTTCACCTGTTTCCATAACGCCATGATTTATGCAGACGTTTCTGTTTTGGGGTCGTGTTTCCTAAAACAAGGTGACCTGCTCTGGAAACAAGTCTACAGCTCGTGCTAGCTGAGGCTTAGCAGTGCTTTGAGCTAAATGCTAACATCAGCATGCTAACATGTTTACCATGTACACCGTCTCTAGTTTAGCTTGTTAGCATGCTAGCAGATAATAGGTATTTGGTCATATAACCGTGTTAAATAAATTGCAACGTTTGGCCTGATGATGGCGCCAGATTAAACATTAAGAGATCATCAAAGTTATTACAAATCATCATAAGGGGATCGTGAACGTCTCTGCCAGGTTTCATAGGTATTGAGATATCTGAGTCTGAACCAAGGAGTTGGACCGACTGCCCGACCATCATAGCAGTCCAAAGAGGCTCACTGCTAACATGGCTAAAATAATCCAGTTATCTCATCAGCTTGTTAAAATGTTCAAATGTGTGTTTCTTTGCAGTGATGATAAAGTATCTTATAACCAGTTGGTGCAGATGCCATCAGGATGAAGCGAAAAGGTCATTAACATCCTGATTTACATGTTTTTAAAAAGGGTTTGTTCCAAACAAACATTTTTGTATCTTTTTTATCTGTTTTATGGCGGCAACTAACGACTAATTATTAATATTTTTCAATTAATCAGTTAATCATTGGGTTACGTTGATGTCTTCAACTGGCTCGTTTTATCCAACCATCAGTTCAAACACAAAATTATTCTAGTTTACTATCGTAGAAGTTATAAATATTTGTTTAAAAAATGATTACCAAAGGTTTCCTGTGATGAGCATCATTTAAACGCTGACTCTTTGAGTTTTGAGGATTTCTTAAGGTACAAGGTTTCTGGAGGACAGTGATGATATTTCTAATATTTGTGTTGTATATTGATAATGTATTTGTGTTTACATAACTACGCGGGGCTCCTATGAGTCTGAAATGTCTTAATTTAAAGTTGCACTATATGTAGTTTTCTGAGACAAAAAGAAAAAGAGTCATTTTAGAATTACTAAGCCTTTTTTTAAGCACTCTTCACAAAACCAGAAAGTTCAACACCACAACCGTTTCAGTCACTTTCAGGTTATTATATCCAAAACTACCAGCGCATCCAGCAGGTCTGATGTCACTTCCTGTTCACGTGGGCGGGGCCGGAGACCAGAGAATATATATTTTAAAGAACATTATTTATTGTAATTCATAATCGTAAGATATTATGATTCAGTAAATTAATTCTCTGGATATAATATATTATACATTTTGTCTTTTGGCCACATTCATTCAGCCGGAGGTTTGACAAAGAATTAGTACATTGATTCTCTCCTTCTGATGCAGTTACTCGATTATTTACTTACGTTATCCTGTGAAATATAGTTAGGGGATGTATTTTATTTTAACTGAAGCTCATTCGTACCATCTTTCCCATGTCATTTGAATGCAGCATCAGACCCGTGAGACAACACATGACCTTCGATGGTCACGACACGCCACTGTCCTTTTTCCGCTCCAGAAACGCAACAGTTTAATCAGCGTAACTTAACATCAGGTTGAAAAGCCAACCCGTTCTCTCTCCCTATCCGTCACATATTGACAAGACCCGTTGGCGTCAGTTTGTAGCGCTCTGTGGGAAGCCCTATAACTTTGGTGTAGACGTGTGGGCAAGAGACTTGTGTTAGTTTCCCGTGTGAAACAAAAAGTCATCACTGATTGTTTTTAGTGGAGTAACGTAGGTTACATAAGCTACTTAAGTAATGTTACTTAATTTACGGAAGTTAAGTATTTTAACCCAAAACATGACCTTTTCCTAAACTGCAACCAAATTGCGACGTTTCATGTCGTTAACCACTGGTTTTATTTTGAAAGTCTTACTGGACGTTGCATATTTATTATTGCTACCTTGACTGTGGAGCCCTACACGTCCAAAAACAACATTAAAGGGGTACCCAGGGCGTTAAAAAGTGACGTCAAGGGGTCTTGACCAAGCGTCCATATGTGACGAGATGGGAGTGAGAATGTGTCGGATAGCAGTGTTTTGCTGTCGTCTCTTGAGCTTCACTGATTGGTGTGGTCAGAAGTGATGTCACAGTGTCCACCTGTACGTCACTGCAGCCGGGTGACTTAAGTTAAACCTCTGGAGGTCAGCAGATGTTAAGCTACTAGTTTTAAAAGTTTTGTTGTAGTGAATGCTCCGTTACCTCTGCTGCACATTCATTTGTAAAAGAAGAAAAACAACTTAAAGCGAAGGGGAGATTGAAGCTAGCCGGCTGAAGTGCAAAGAAGTTGCACTCTTTACTGTTAACAACAGGAACGTTTGCTCCCTCAGATAACAATTGTTTATTTTTTCTTATTTCTACAATGACACATTTGTTAAAAGGACGTCCACAAAGCTACAGGGAAAATAAAACGCTAACAGAACAGTAAAGCCATGTTCTCTCTGATTTGTGATTAATTTTCTGTATTTATTACTCGCGTTGCTTGATTTTAACTGTATAAAGCATATTATTAGAAGCCTACAGTGAATTTTCCAAACCTTGCCAACCTCCTCGCTAACAACCTAACATTGGGTTCAAGCGAGCGTAAGAGCTGAGGAAGTGGAACTGAAGTCACACCTAAGAAGGTGAATTCAAACCGCTTTGTAAACCCAGAATACAATTTGCACATTATAACAAATAAAGGTTTAATAAAACCAGGTATTTTTTATTGTTTTTTCTTATTCTGGTCTGTTAATTAACTTGTTTAATATTGTTGCACAGAGCTTGTAATTCTGATCCTGTGGGAAACAATCAGGTAGTGACAGGAAGTGATTTCAACGCAGTTCAAACTTAAACCTGAAACTGCCACAAACTGCACGGAGCAGCTATACTAAAATAAAACCTGCACACACGTGTTGTTTTATATGAAATGTCCTATAAAAGGTGCTGAGAGCTGATTTCTGGTTCATTTTACACGTTTATTTTAACAAAAACAAGAAGAAGCATGAAATACAAAAGCCTCCCCACGATCACCACAGATCGTCTTCCTCTTACATTATTTGCTTTTTAAAAAATTTATTTCATTTTTATCTCTGCTGTATCCTGTTACTGTTTTGCTGCTGCAATGATCAATAAAGTTGAATTTCATCTGACTCACTTCTACTCACACCTCGTCTTTTCTCAAATGTACTCACGTGCCTGGAAGATCACGTTACGGTGGTAAAGAAAATCGAAACCCGTTTGTGCAGAGATTTCACCAGCTGTGAAGCAGTAGTAGCAGTACCGCTCACTGGTACTAGTACTACGTTATAGTACTACAGAGTCATGTAACGGTGAGCTGAAACTATCTGAACATCACTTAGAAAGGAGAGAAAAACAGAATTTAGGAGGCTGGTTTTGAAGAGAAATCAGGGATGAAGGTCACGCACCACACTCGCCACACGAGTGGGAGGATAAGTGTCAATCGCCATGGGTCCTGTCCCCTCCTCAGTGGTTGCCACGGTTACCTGGCATGTTGTAGGGTCTCCATGACGGCAAGCAGTAAGTCTGTCCATTGGCTGGGAGCAGCTCCGGGCTCGGGCGAATAATCAGCCTGAGTGAAGGTTCAGGGAGGGCAACAAAAAAAAAACACCAACCCACACACAAGTGCACACAAAGGTCATTATTAGATTTTGGTAAATGGTGTTAAAGGAGAAAAAAGAGGAGGAGAAAGGGGAAAGAACTGGCGAGTGGAAGGAGGAAGATGAGATGTAAAGTGAGGAGCAGAGAGAAGGAAGTGAAAAACAGGTGCAGAAGAGGTCAGAAGGATAAAATAAGAAAGAGAGGGTGCATACGAGATGAGGAGGAAGATGGGAGCTGAAGAGTTCTCCTTCTCTTGGTCAAAAGGTCAAAGCCTCAGGGAGAAACAGAGTTTTTCATCAGAAATAATGCCAGTTAAAGGGACAGTTAATAAGTTTAAATGTCACGTCAATGTTGAATGTTCAATATATTTATGAAGGCAACAGATTATTTAAAGGTTCAGTGTGTAAGTTTTAGTGACATCTAGTGGTGAGGGCTGCGAATTGCAACCAGTGGCTCACGGTGCATTCACGTGCTTCTCGGATGGTCCCATTTCCCGAGTTGTGAAGTTGGTTTTTCCGACTTCAGTGTGTGTTCATGTGCTCTTAAGTTGGAATGTGGAATCCACGTGGACGCTACTACAAAGATGTGTTGGATTAGCATTATCAGAGTGTACAAACAAGTCCAGAGTGGACATCACATTGGGGGGTGGTGGAGCAGTGGGTAAGGCACATGGCTTTGGTGTGAGAGACCGGGGTTTAATCCCCACTATGACACATCCACCAATGTGTCCCTGAGCAAAACACTTAAACACCCTTAGTTGCTAGAGGCGTGCGACCTCTGACATATATAGCAATTGTAAGTCGCTTTGGATAAAAGCGTTAGATAAATGAAATCTAGTTTATCCTTTATAACCACATTACAAATGACATGTTTGCAAAATATGTACATGCAATACATAATTTTGCACTAATCTAAGTTCTGTATACTTCTTTATGTCCCATGTGCACATTATTTCTCTTTTTGGAATCAAGATTTAAGGAGGAAAAAAAACCCTCGTCCATGTGGTCAACACGCTCTATTGATTCTTGTGCTAAATAATACGTGTGGGCCTCCATTTGCCCAAATTTCTCATCTTTTCTTAATTCTAAACCAGACGATTATAACTACTACTACAACTTGTTGTTGTTGTTGTTCTTCTTCTTCTTCTCCTTCGTACGTACTCCTAAATATTACACACTGGACCTTTAAGTGAAGGATCTGAATACTTACTCCCCATTCAGATATCCATCCAAGACTTCAACCTCTTATTTACATTGTTTCACTCTCCTCCTGTATTTTCTCCATCCTTCTGTAGTTAGGCTAAACTCTTCCTCCTACTCTCTTCTCCTCTCCTCCCTTTCTCTCCTGTTTCCGGCTTTCTGTGGTTGCTCCATCTCGTCCTGTCACACACAGCAGTATTGATTTTCAGTCCTGCAGAGTGCAAAGAGGCAAAGAGAGATTGGGTGTTGGCCACTGATCTGGATTCAGCTCGTCCTCTTCATCTAGTGGACTTCTGATATTCATTTCAGTGTGATATTAAAAATTAGCACATCCAATCCAAACCAAAAAGGCCTCAATACTGTAGGTGAACACAAAGAAACTTCACCAGCAGGTGGCGCCACATCTCTAAATGTTTGAGCTTCAACATAACTTTTAGCTACGCCAGCGATGTGGGATGTTTAAATATTTCAAAAACTGTTGGATGGATTGCCTTTAAACTTTATACAGACACTTGTGTTCCCCTCGGGATCAATTATAATAACATTGGTGATCTTTAGTGACCATGAGGCTATCTGTTTCCCCTTGTTTACAGTTTTCATGCTTAGCTAAGCTAACTGGCTGCTAGCTATAGCTTCATAATAATCTGATCATCTACTCTCACCAAGACAGTGAATAAGGAGATTTAATAATAAGTATTACTACTATTATTATTATTATTACCATTATTTTATGTAAAAGTACTAATACCTCACTTTTAAAATAAAATACTCTAGTACAAGTCCTGCAGTGTTACTTAAGTAAGTAAGCATCAACAGGAAAATGTACTTTAAAGTATTAAAAGTAAAATACTCAATGCAGAAAAACATCCCATTTGAGTTTTGTCATGGAATAAATCTGCTGGGTCTTGATCAACCTATTTACTGTTTGGTTTGTAAAACTTAAGCTAAAGGGAGTAATGTGTCACAGTTATCCAGACTCAAATAAAATATATAAAATACACTGCTCAAAAAAATAAAGGGAACACTAAAATAACACATCCTAGATCTGAATGAATGAAATAATCTCATTAAATACTCCTTTTACATAGTTGAATGTGCTGACATGATGTCCCAGATGTGCTCAATTGGATTCAGGTCTGGGGAACGGGCGGGCCAGTCCATAGCATCAATGCCTTCCTCCTGCAGGAACTGCTGACACACTCCAGCCACATGAGGTCTAGCATTGTGTTGCATTAGGAGGAACCCAGGGCCAACCGCACCAGCATATGTTCTCACAAGGGGTCTGAGGATCTCATCTCGGTACCTAATGGCAGTCAGGCTACCTCTGGTTCTGGGCTGTGCGGCCCCCCACTCCTCTGTCTGGAGTTGCCACATGTGCTCAGTGTGAACCTGCTTTCATCTGTGAAGAGCACAGGGCGCCAGTGGCGAATTTGCCAATCTTGGTGTTCTCTGGCAAATGCCAAACGTCCTGCACAGTGTTGGGCTATAAGCACAACCCCCACCTGTGGACGTCGGGCCCTCATACCACCCTCATGGAGTCTGTTTCTGACCGTTTGGGCAGACACATGCACATTTGTGGCCTGCTGGAGGTCATTTTGCAGGGCTCTGGCAGTGCTCCTCCTGATCCTCCTTGCACAAAGGCGGAGGTAGCGGTCCTGCTGCTGGGTTGTTGCTCTCCTATGGCAATATATATATATTATATAATAAATATATAATAAAAAATCTCAAATCTACTGAGATAAATGTAGTGGAGTAGGCTACAAAGTGATGTAGAAAGTGTCATGAATGGAAATACTCAAGTAAAGTACAGATACTTAAAATGTGTACTTAGGTACAGTACTTGAGTAAATGTACTTATGACGTTCTTCCTCTGAATGAGCTTTAAAATGTCCGGGGCCCGAGGGCTCACTTTTTTTCATTCCTGATTCTTTAACAAACTAGATTTTACTAATGCCAAGTCCGATCTTATGTAATTTGGTGACAGTATTTTGTGTGATGTCTGTGGAGAGGCGTTTCCGTGTGGATCTGTAGTGCCAGGAAACTTTGGGAAACTTTCATCTCCAGCGAGTACTAAAGTGCAGGATCTGTTTTCCACAAAGCTCATGTTAACCTGAAGAACTACCACAGAAGAAAGATGGAAAAGTGCCCAAGGGCCCATTGTCTCATAATCTCTTACGAATCCACTCGTTCTTCAAAATTTAACCTGGACTGAAACATGAATTACAGTTCAGACGCTCAGTTACATTTAAAATACTTGTGATAATATTTGAGAGAAACCAGTATTTTACTCCTGCGTTCATTTAGCAAAAGGTGGAAGTGTGTAATTTTAGAGGTGATGCCTTACTGATCCTTGTATGCTGTGTTATATATATATATATATATATATATATATATATATATATATATATATATATATATATAAAATAAGTTTCCTAAAGGGTTTCCAGGAAACAAGAATGCAATTTTGCACTTAATATATGGAAAATGGTTTTCGTCTATTATTGGAAACTGTAGCTTTCATATAGGTTGAGCTGCATAATTACCTGTAGACAAAACAGTGTACAGATTTATGATGTCTCTTTTTTCCCTCATATTTAGTACTAAAGTCTGTATATTTGTGTGTCTGTCTAGAACACGTCCAAGGCATTATTGGGGATAGATTATTCTATTTCAGTATGCAACATTTTATTCTGTATTCAGTCCATTCAATTTCTGTTCCTCTGCCCCATTTGTTTTTCATGAATGCCTGTTTCCGGTGCAGCTTGACCCAGCCCACAGTGGGCGGTGTCCTGCCGTGTGATGACCACATGGTTATTTCGTCTGACCCACCACGTGGGGCTTAGGATTTCGCGGGACTTCTCCCGCATGTGACAGTCCTGTACCGCAAGTCAAACACACCATGAAAAACAAACAGATTGTAGTTGTGGTTTCATTCAATTCACGTGTTACTTTTAAAATGCATGCTTTATTAAGTTATCCTTATGTGTGTGTGAAGTATTACAAGTAGGCAAAGCTTTTATTTTGATAGCATATTCCGGGGGTCTTGTGACATCTGACAGAGAGGGTTTTATTTTGAAAAGTGTGACAGTTTTTTGTATTAAATAAAATTCAGTAAGTCATTCATCTTCTCTATTTATGTTGTTTTCATATTTAAGGTCTTGACCATTAATTGTATTGTATTCTGTTTGATGGTAAACGTCTTTATTTTGAAACACACAAATCACAGTTTTAAATTTTATTTTGTTTAGACTTTTATTTTGGTAGATTAACAGGAAATACTAGACGCGTAGCTGTCTACTTGACACCGTAGAGGAAGAAGGGGGTGTGTTGCTAGCTGTTAGCCTGCCTGCTAACTGCCAGCTAAAGTTAACTGCACTAGTTTCACTTTCTGACAATCAGGAATACAGTCTCTGGCATGAGCAGGGATTCCTGGAAAACGAAACTAGAAACTGGTGTTGTATTTGACACTCGTTAGACCTTAGATGTAGAAATTTAAACTCACTCGGGGCGATATTGACAACTTGTAGCCGGTGGCGTCTAAAAGATTTAATCGCTAACGTTAACCGTCAAACACGCAGGTATTAGCAAACCAGCTAGCTTTAGCGGCTAGCTGCTAGCCCCCCGCTAGCATGGACGGCGGCGGAAGCATGCAAAGTAATGAGGAGAGAGGAGCAGAGAAATTAATGGATGACTACTTGAAATCAATCGGTTTGCATCGGAAGAAAATTGCCAAAGACGGGTCGTGCTTGTTTCGGGCTGTCGCCGAGCAGGTAAAGTGGTACAACTGAAGAAAAACAGCTAGCGTTAACTTTCCAACTAGCTTACTGAACACAGGTGAAAAGCAGGGCTTGGTCTGTTTGTTGTGCTGGTGCAGGCTAGCAACTGTCTTAATGTTAGCCGGATAAAAGTTAACCTTAGTAGCAAGGTTTTAGGCGGTGTTTCAAAGCCAACTGTTAACATTTATGAACTTACGCTGTAAAATATTTACATTTGTCACTTTCTAGAATTGAGTTCTTAATGTAGTGTGGTTAAAGGAGCGTGAGCTCAGGCAGCAAGTGATACAAGTTTTAAAAACTTGGTTAACAAATCATGGAAATTATATATGTACATGTCTGCATGTTGACCGTGTGACCTTAATTGTTAATGTGCGTTTGACACTGTTGACCTTTGACCCCGTCTAGGTGCTGCATTGCCAAAGCCTTCATACTGAAGTCCGGGCCAAATGTGTGGAGTTCCTGAAGCAGAACAGAGAGAGCTATGAGGCGGTATGTGCACCATAAGTGACCCAGTCAGAGCATTAAACCTAACCAACTGTCATTAAAGTTGTTTTATTTAGGTTTGGGGAGGGTTGTTTTTTCTCTTCATAGCATGACTAAATGAAATAATATTGTTGTTTGTAGTCTGCAGTGGGATGTGATAATATGACAAAACATAGATATTGAGAATTTCTCTAAATGAGTTATTTTTGTCACAAATTCAAAGTCTTTAGTGGTAGCTGCTGAGTACATTAAGCTTCTCTCTATGAATCTGCAGCGTTACAAGTAGCTGAAAATGAGATGCAAATCTTGCCGTAAATTGTAATCGATCCAGGATTACAGAGAAATGTAAAAAAACAGAAATGATTGTGAACCTGTGGGATGAGACAGCAGGTTTTGTGTCTGTGTTTTTGTGGATCTGAACCGAAAGCTTCATAACTGAAGCTGAATGACAGGAGGAGGAACTGAAAGCAAAAGTTAGTGTTTTTATGACAGTGAAATAGTCATGACGCCTAAACTACAGCAGGGCTTTCGGACATCTCCCAGAATGTTGGATAAAGGTGACTGTTTTCAAACATGAGGTGTCATTATGAGGTCTTTGTCTGAAGACCTGCACGCTGCTGCATTGTGGTCTTTTTTTGAGCTCTCGCAGGTTTAGAAATGGATCGTTTAATTTGCCTCTTTTCCAATTTAATTAAACCCCCCCCCCGTTTGACTCCTCCTTTCACCTTGACACTCTTAAAGTTTCGAGTTAATGCGGCTACCTTGAAAATCTGTCGCCTGGTAATGTGGTTCCAGCAGATCGAGGGTTTACCAAGTATTTTCTGAAGTCAGACTTCACTGAAGCTACTTGTAAAATGATCTGGATGTGTTGTCCATATCATAGCAGTTATCCACAGGAAGGAGAAACAAACAACAAATAAATAAACTAGAGCCAGAAATACAAAGTAATGTAGCAGCAGATGATTGATGTTTGATTCTATAAAAGATCAGTTTGGTTGTGTTCAGTAAGACCAAAACCAACAATGTGTTTATCCGCATCTCAGTACTTTCTGATTGCCACTTCAAGCTCATTGGTTCTTGCTGAAGGCCGGTATCTTTAAAAAACAGGTCATTATTTCTTAAAACAGCTGAACACCGTAGTTTTTAGCAATCGGTACTCAAACATATAGAACATCACCAGAATTTTCCTCCTTCATCCATTGGTCACAGTGGCTGATATGAGCCAAAGCAGACTATTGTAGCAGCCAACTAGACAATCACAACAGACCAAAGTGTGCGTGAATGAGCGTGAGGTTAAAAGAGGCATCATAAATCATGAAGATCGAGGTGCGCTTGACACAAACCCGACTGTCCGAACACGTCGAAAGCTGAAGGTGGGATGAAAAACCTGCCCTTCATAGAGGCAACGCTAGCCTCCGATTCAAAACGCAACGTTTAAGACTTGTAGTTGATGTGAGACGTCAAAGCCGAGACTTGAGACTAACTTCTGAGTTAAAACAAGAACTTTTTCTTGTTTGACTGTGTTGTTTCACTCGTGTCTCCTTCGTTGCAGTTCATTGAAGGCGATTTTGAGGATTATCTGTACAAGCTTCAGGACCCACAGGTACGACTGTTTTAATGATTCGTGGACCCCTTTTTTATTTTGGTGAAATATTTGATGCTGTCTTGTTTGCTCTCTGTGCTGTGATGACAGTGAGATTAATGGTACTGTCTGTTTTCCAGCAATGGGTCGGAGAGGTGGAGATCAACGCGCTGGCTGTCATGTACAAGTAAGAGACGTCTTAAATGTGCAATTCTTCTATGTAACAAGTTTCCACATGAAACAGGATGTTGAGGTGTTATTTTGAAAATCAGTGGTCACAGAATAAATTTGACTCACAGTTTGTAGCGATCGTATTTACTGTCTTCTCGGAAGTGATTGTGATTTGAGCCACATGAACAGGAATGAAACCTGACCTGCATGTTAAAATGATGGGATACAATCTGCAGTGTCCTCTATACACCATATATGTTAGGTACTTTGAACAGAGTTCCTACACGGTATGGACTTTGATTTTAGTCATTTCAAGGACTGGATAAGTATGGAAAAATATTGTTTCCAGACTGTTCTGTTTTCTAAATGAGTCTTGATACCGAGTACCTATCTGTTACCAGTGTAAAATGGGTGGTGATGAAACAGTGGATAAGACACCTGCCTTTGGTGTGAGAGACCTGTGTGAGTGAGGGCGAGCCAGGGTGAGCTTGACGTCAACAGCGAGGCTAGAAGCACGGCGTGTGACTGAACGTGCCTGTACGTCACAGCCTTATATCTGTATTAAATCCAGACATCACGAGCAAAGTCATTTGAAAGAAACTGCAGCAATATCTTTGAATTTAATACATACAGCGTTTTTCCTATGTAGAGGAATTTATGGCAAAGAGCCAGAGCTTTTACCCAGCACCGAAATGATACAAGTTCCTTCCAGCAGTCAGCTGCTGTATTTTACACAACAGCTGAGCTGCTGAATGCTCCTGGTGTTAATGGGAGACAAGACCTGCTGGGATTTCTCATAAAAGCCGCAACTCTGTTAAAACCGACCAGGTTACGTCGATGTCTCTCTCCTCTGCTCTCTGTCGGCCTCGTGGACGTTTTAAGAGCTGCAGGTCTGTGTACTCCTTCCCACACGGGTGTGAGGAGGTGCGGCTGCAAAACAATTAGAAAATAACATTTTATTTCTCTGATTCACGTCTTTGTTCTCACTCACACCGCTCCCTCTCTTCATTCAGTCTCTCTCTCTCTCTCTCCGTTTAGAAACAGCAGCCTTCAAATCCTGCTCATTCTGCCTTTCAAGACCAACTCAGTTAATCCCATGAAACACTTTTATGGAAACTGAGCATTTAATTTGAATGTCACAACAGATATTCAAAGCTTCATTCTACCGATCATGCTTACTGTTGTGTGTAGTCTTCCCCACAGGCCTGTTCTGGGCCAGGAAAAACCCTGACACAGCATCACAAATAACCAAACAGAGCTTATCAGAACAGTTATGAGTTAGAAAAGTAAACGGACTATCTTTTCCGCATGAGGAAACCTTTATGGCTGCGTTCATGCTGTGGAAATGAAATTTCTTTTTTCCTACTCATTTTTGGGTTTTATTTATAAAATATGGGGAGAACACTAATTTATAACTAATTTATTCAATATGTTAAGGGGAATTAACGAGCAGGTAGTTTACATCCGGTTTGGGCAGAGATGTTTGACTTTTCTCTCTGCTCAGGAGAGTGGACTGAACCCAAAATGGTTTGGTGTGTAATTTGTAGGAGCTGCAGTACAATTTTCTGGCAATTATTAAACAAAATATGAGCAAAAATTGACTAAGCATTAATTTACATAATAAACATCCACATATTTGTAGCTGTGGTATTTTGAGTCTGGAAAATGTGCAGGACCCCTTGTAGACAGAGCACAACACCTGCGCGCTATCCACACCTAACACTCCAACTTTTAAGATAAGTTACTGAATAAAAAGTTACGTTTTCATAGTAATGTAATATTAATGTGATATAATAGTTTAGGTAGTGAAAAACATTCACACTACTGTTTACTGCTGCATTACACATTTATTTAATGAGATGTTTTGAACACGACACGTACATGCTGTGCTATAAAGTTAAAAACATACAGTATACCTTTTTTATTTTATTTGAGCCCTGCCCTCTGACCCACCTGTCACTCTTTCAGATGTGTTGAGATATTTTTTTTCTGTTATTTAATGATATAAAAATACATTTTTGGACGTTCAGCGGCATCTAGTGGTAACAATATGGAAAGACTGAAACGTCCCAATTCTCTCAAATAACAGATGATTTTATACCACAGGAGAGTTTAAACTGAACATGAACGTCTCTTACCTTTTGCGAGGAAGCTGAGATGAAAACATTGTAATCACTGAGCTGTAGAGTCAGCAGCTGCTCCGTTGATTGGTTGGTTGGTTAGTTAGGACCTTTTATTGTAGATTTTGGGGTTGTGGAAAATTATGTATTTGGCTTCACCACACAGCGTTAAAACAACACAGGACGATGAGGACAGACAGCAGGGACACATTAACAACAAACAACATGAGGTAAAAGTACTGGGAGAGTTGTGAACCTGCTGAGTTACTCATCAAACCTTCCTAAAATACTACAACTAGTATTTCTAGGGATAGCCATCGCAATATCTGGCAGAAAAATTCCCAAATCGTTTAGTCCTAATTATTTATAAAATATAGAAACATCACTTCATGCAGTGTTTGTCTCGGGCTTTTTGTGTTTCTGCAGGAGGGATTTTCAGATCTTCCAGGAGCCCTGCAAACCACCTGTCAACATCACAGACAACAACTTCAAGGACAAGGTGTGACTGCAGCCCTGTGTGTGTTCCCACCACTGCATCTCTCTTTCATCTGTTATGCAGCTCTGTTTTCTTTAAACTCTTTAATATTTCCTGAAACTGTTGGCCCGTATCATTTTCTCGATTGATCATTTGGTCTATGAAATATAAGAAAATATTTACCAACGATAGTCTGTTTTCTATAATACAAAACAAACAGCAAATACTCAAAACTGAGAAGCTGGATGAAGTGAGTTTTTGCTTAAAACATGACATGATGAACTTATTTGTTTCAGCTTAACCTGCAGTAAATCACATCACTGTGAAGCCTGTAATGCTGACTTTTAGTTCTCAAGTATTTGGTAATTTTTGAGGTGTTGATTTATAGACTGTTCTGTTTCCAGTTTTATTTCTAGTAAAAAGTAGTCAAAATAATTGTGTGAGCAAGTCGTTAAAGTTTAAGCGCCTCAATTCCCGACAGAAACTATTTCACACTGATCTCTTTCTTTAAATTTTTTTGCAGGTGCGGTTGTGTTTTCTGAACGGGAATCACTACGACAGCGTTTATCCCGTCAGCCACATTAAGAGCGCCGCCCTCTGCCAGTGTGAGTGTTGGTGGTTACATTCATCAGGTCAAATGTTTCCTAAGTCTCTGGACCTAAAGTAAGGCACAGCTCGAGTCAGGATGGCAGAATGATTTATTCTCCATGTCGTCCTCTCCTATGAGTCGTGTAGTTCAGTGTGTTAGGAAACTCCCAGCAGCTCGTTAGTCACTCTCTCTCTGTGTCTCTTGCAGCCATCCTGTACGAGCTGCTGTATGACGATGTGTTCAATGTCGACCGGAACTTTCTGGGTCTGTGCCAGAGGCCTGCCCGACCCTCTGATTTGCTGAGTGACGACAACATGCCCGCCTGCGGTAGCAGTGACGAGTCTGACTTTGACACTGGCGAGCCGCTCTGGTAGGAAACGTTTCAGCTTCCTCAAAACTAAATCAATTATTTACATGCATACATCATAAACTATATAGTGAACAGAATCTAAGCTCTGACGTCGTCATTCATTTACCACACATTGTAACCAAAAGGTCAAGAGTGAACATCCACACACAGATACATAATCGAACTATCATTATACTCAGCGAAATACATTTACTGTATGTAGTTGTTGCTTGGCTTACCTACTTATTTTTTTTATTTATCTATTTATTTGATCGTTTGTAAACTATTTTTATTATTTATTTAATTACTTACGTTCTTTTCAACCGCAAACAATTCTACATTTATACTTAGGCTAATTGAAGCATCAGCTAAAGCGACACAGCAACGTGAAAGTCTGGCCGCTACTGCCAGTGATGGTTGGACTCATCGGGAGAGAGTGGCGTTATATCATCCAGTAATAAGTAGAGTAGCTAATATTACTTTTTAAGGAGTATATGCTAAGTAACTAGTAGGTAACGACTATTATTTCTGAGTAACTCTCCCAAAACTGAGTTGACAATAAGGATCGGATAAATTGGGTATGTTTTGATTATTACTTGTTATAGGCTATCTCTAATGTTTACTTTGACGTTGATGTTGATTGATCACTCATATAGCCTGTATACACTTTGCTGTATGAATGGTTGCTTTTTAAATCTTTATGTCCTTATGTTAAAGGTTTTGGCACGTTATAAATTAATTTCTTGTGAATGGTTGTGACAGGTTTTATATAAGGCCTTGTCATACGGCTTGGATCCCCGGGGTCGCTCTGCGCTCCTCACTGACAGACAGGCAAACAAGCGCTCCCCGAGGTAACCATGGCAATGGCTTCTGTGTAACTGGCGGGAACTCGTGAAACTGTCGCGGTCGTTCTTGTCTTACGGACGCGCCTGCTGCCAGAGTTGAAATGTCAAACTTTTTCCTACAGTTTATCAATAGACAGAAACTTATCTGCTGTTTGATCTGAGTTTCCTGAATAATATAAATGTTTCTTTAACAGTCAGGCCACCAGGTCTTAAACAGGCAACAACCTTTGCTGCTGTCTCTTATTCATTAAAAATAATCTAACTTCTACTAAACAAATTTGAAAGTTTGTAGTTATATTATTTAGTTATAGAATCAATTATTTCATGTTGCACATTTAGCTGTTGAAGTTTGGTAAAAAATTAATACAAAATAATAATTACTATAGAGGGGTGGCGATGATTGATTTCCACTGCAACACATCCACCAAATGAGTTATTTTCATGGGTCCTGCTTTACCATCCATGTTATAATAGAGCCGCTGCCAGTTTTATCAGGGTGTGAGGGGGGGTCTCAGTATATTTTCCTGCCTTTTTGCCCTTTGCCAATCACATGCCTGTTTTTTCAATTTCACTCAGGAACAAAAATCAGCACTTAAACCCGAAAGAAATAACGATTTGATACTTATCGTGATAATTATCAGTATCGAATGATATGAAACTTTTTATTGTGCCATATTGACCAGCCCTAAGCTTTTAGTTACTTTTCAAATTCCAAATATTGATGTCCAGTGAGAACCATTCGTCTCCAGATGTGGTGATTTTGAATGAGTTCCTTTTAAAGGTTGAGAAAATTTTCCTACTTCACAAATAAATTAAATAAAATGTATTTATATAGCACTATAAGAGAAGTTATCACACTGCTCAGTGGTAATGATACAAATATCTTCCAGAGCACCTGCAGATAGCAGGAGGAGAGAGGAGAGGGACGAGAAAGCACAAAACTACACGGGAGGGAAGAAGTCGTGTTAGTAACATAAATTAATGGGATCAGAATGCATAAAAATGGATAGGGACAGGAGGAGAGGAATTTTACTTGTAGCGGATTATTTCCACAGTGTGGTGTTAGTACTTTGACTTCATTAAAGGATCTGAATACTTCCACACTAAAGAAAACACTGGAAAACTTTACAACAACATATACAATGTCATGATGTGTTTGTTTTATGATGCAGGGTAGAAAATGGAACAAACACGACGGCTCCGAGACACAGGGTAACTCACACACACTCTCAGTCCAACAAATGTTATCAAACCACGTACACACCTGCTGAACTGCCTTAGTTGTTGAACACTATATCGGACAATGGATAACTGTGTGGGTGTGTGTGTGTGTCAGGGCCGCGGGCGTGGTCGGCAGTTGCCTGAGAGGGTGAGACGTTCACTGAACCCGACTCTGTTCAGAAACATAGAGTACGACGTCTGGCACAAGACCAAGAGAGGTGACACAAAGGAAACACACCGAATGGTTGTTATTAAAATATGCGCTGCTGATCAGTCCGTTGATGATGTGTGATATGTTGTAGACATTTCAACTTTTATTGATCTCCAGAGAGGAAATTCAGATGTTACACCAGCACAGAGAAGTATAGCACGTAATAAGTATAGAAAGTAAAACTACACAACAAAAATAAACTTAAAATTACAAGGCAAGAAGTGGTGTGATTAGTAGCTGCAGCAAAGTTGTGTGTACGTAAACGATGTGTAGTATGATTAAGTAATGATACTTAATAGAAATTATACGTAATGTAATGTAATGAAACACTGTAACATTAACATAGTATGGAATATAAGCTAGTATAAGGTGTGTGTATGTAAAAAAAAAAAAAACTGTTATTCATTAATCTCAAAGATAGTTGATTTAAAATGAGCACAAGTTGTGGAAAAAAGGGATTTTGAAGTTGTTGATTTTTTTTTTTTTTTTGCTTTCAGCACAACAGAAGATGGATTACCGTATCGCTGCCGGGATGCAGTTCACTGTCGGAGACCGCTGCCAGGTGCGTGTGATGTGTTCAGTGTCTGGATTTAAGCTCTACTTCCTCACCTGCTTTTTTCCCATTATGCGTGTGTGTGTGTGCTTGTGCTTGCATCACCTGCAGGTTCGCCTTGATAGTGGTGGGCGGAGCTACAATGCAACCATCAAGGAGGTGCCACCCAACAACGGTCCAGTGACCGTTCACATAGAAGAGCTGGGCAGGAGGTAGGGTGCACACACACACACTCACACACTATATTGTACGTTAGTGCAGTGGTGGACAAAGTTTTCCACTACAAGTAAAGGTCCTGCGTTGAAAATGTTACGTGAGGAACGGTATTTAAGCCCTAAGCAGCTCTCCATTCAAACTGTTTTGTTGTTTTTGGATAATTTATAATAACAGTTTTACAAAAGGGTTGCGCAGATGAGTTTCTTTAGGATAATTGCAGAACAACTTCCAGTGTCACTGCTTGGGTCCGTTGGTAGAGCACAGGACTCACAGTCAACGGGTTGTGAGTTCGATCCCCACTTCTTTTTTTTACTTTCTTCTTCAACAAAGTTCTTATGAAGAGATTCAGGTGAATCCAATCGCACATTTCCCGACAGCTATTTCAGAGGTGTGTCATGAAAGCCACAGACTCTTCTGAATGACTTTCAGAACTTTTCAAAGGTGTTTAACACACCTCCGAAATAGCTGCCAGGAAATGTGATTGGATTACCCTGAATGAGAAGCGCAGGAATTTCCTCTGCCTGGAGATGACGGGGAAATGAAAAGTATATAGGTTGGTGGATGTGGACCAATCGCCAGGAAGCACACACTCCTGCACATGCTTTATTGTGAGCACGTGAAACTCTTCACTTTGTTGAGGATGATAGTAAAAAAGATGGAAAAGAACCAAGTGAGCCAAGACGTGACACTGCAAGTTATTCTGAAATTATCCTAACTCACCTGCCGACTCCTGTATTAGACTATTGTTTTATTATCTCGTCATCACGGGGAAACGGTAAATAAAAAAGTTTGAATGGATGGGCGCTGGAGGATTCCACATTTAAGACTTAAAGTATTTTAAAGTAAAAGTGCTCAGTGTATAAAAATGTCCCCTGTTATTGCCACATATTATATCGTGAGATGATTATATTATTGTAAAAGCAGGATTTTACTGCTGTAGTCTTTGAGGTGGAGCTCATTTTGAACTGTTCAGTATCTGATGATGATTTTCATTAAGGATTAATCTTCTACTTAATTTATCTATTGATCGATTTGTGTGTTTGGTTTGTAAAACTGGAAACTGTAACATTATAAAATAAATTATAAAAAGGGAGAAATATCGTCACCTTAGCAACGCCCGTTTTGTCCAACAAACAAAAATAATTCAAATGAAAAGCAGAAAATCACGTGTTGGAATCTGGAACCATCAAATGTTTTACATGAAAATTGCTGTAAATGATTATCAATTTATTTTCTGTCAATGGATCAATTTATTAACTAATTGTTTCAGCTGTATAAACTGTTGGGTACAAAACATAATTTTTTATAAGCTCTTCATGTTTTTTCATGTTATTTGTAATGTAGCTGGTAACTAAAGCTGTCAGATAAATGTAGGGAAGTAGGAGAGAAAAATACTGAAGTAAAGTATCTCAAATTTGCATTTAAGTACAGTATGTGAGTAAATGTACTTCCACCACTGAGTGTGCAGACGCTGACAGGTGTGTGTGGGGGTGTGTGTGGGTGTGTGTGTGTAGACAGGTCCCTCTGTGGAGTCTGCGTGCTTCCAAGGATGAGAACAGCTGGAGCACCGTGGTCAACCGAGAGAAAAGGCTCAGCAACGGACATGGAGGTGGTGAACACACACACACACACACACACACACACCACGTCACATTAACACACATTTATAAACTCTTAAAGTGAAACTGAGCCGTCTCTCCCCCTCAGAGTGGGAGGAGAGGGGTAAAGGCAGAGGCAGGGGGAAGCAGGTCCCTGCGTCCTCCTCTGTTTCCCCAACAACCGCACCGGGCCCCAGTGGGCGCGTGCATAAGCAGCACTCCTGGCCCCCGCAGGCCACCGTAGAGGAGCAGGGAGGCGTGAAAGCCAACAGGTCAGTACATCTCCCAGAGACCGTCTGTCATCACCACTTCATCTATCACATGTTTTTATTTGAACATTCAAGCATGAGGCTAAAATATTCTTGCTATCAAGACACCATCTCAGTGAAGGAGGCACACCAGTAAACTTTGTGTTACTTATTTTATTTATAGGAAATCTGTGAGCTCGGTGGATTCTGCCTTCGGTATATCAGAGAAGGAGCGTTTGGCCAGGGAGGAGGAGGAGAGGAAAGGGGTGTTGCTGGAGATCCAGCTCCGAGACGAGCACAGCTTCCCCGCCCTCGGGGTGAGTTCAGAGTCACTGATCATGTGGTCAGAAAGATCTCTACTTCACCGGATGTGGAAAAACCAAGGCGAACATACTTGTTACATCATCCTCACACAGGATGAGATGACAGCATTAAGGCTGGCTCCCACCTGAAGACCCAAAGATACACATGATGGATTAATTCACATTATTTAAATATTAATAAGACATATATACTGTGTTTGATTATCAGTGTGTACAAAGCTGCATCTGTCCTCCTGAAACTGGTTCACAGCAGAATCAGAATCACTTTTAATGGTACACATATGAGGAATTTACTCTGGTCTTACATTACCCTCAGTGAAAATACACAGAACAAACAAACAGGACAACAAGGTAAACAAGGACACACAAACTGCAGTTTACAGTAAACACAACCAAAACAACAACATTATTTGTCCTCCTTAATGAGAGACAACAGGTGAAAGCAGTAAAAATGATCTTACATTAAGACAATATATATATATATTTTTTAATAAAAGGATCTATTGACAGAACTGCAATATAATATCCATAACTATGTCTTCAGTGGTGTATAAACACCTTACATAAGGAACCATTATGTTTTTAATACCTTAGAATGAGCCACTTCTGTCTACGTACACCGCAGGTCCTCTTACATGGACGTCGCCATGTTTCTACAGTAGCCCAAACTAGGGCTTCAACTAATGACTATTTTTGTAGTCGACTGATTAAAGATACTATTTATTATGAAATTCTATACATTTTGCAAGACACTATGTGAATGAGGTTAACTAATGGATATCACCATAAAATTTACCCCAGTAATAATTACTTGTATTACGATAAATAATCATTGTCTAAATATGCACATGAGGCAGCATCTAATGCTACCTCTTGGTGAATTCAGGAGAAATCTCCAAACACAAATGGACAAAGTGCAGTAAAATAAAGACCTAAATATGTATTTTTGGCAGTTTTTCCCCCTCTAGTCGTAAAGAAAACATGATATCATGACAGCAAATTAGCCCAAAATCTCAAAATTGACCTGTGCTTGAAAAAAGTCTTTGCCTGTAGTGTCTCTTATTTAAAAGCTTTTGTAAGGATGTTTTAGTCTCTTTAGTAACTAAGTAGTAAGTAAGTATGTTGTTTTTATTTTTTTTTTGCCCCTCCCCTCAGGCCCAGTCTGGGATGCAGGGTGAAGTAGGGAGGAAGAAGGGAGGAGAGAAGAGACGATCCCAAAGGAACAAGACAGTAAGTTTGGTTATTAGTCATGAACATGATAACTTAGACGGTGATGAATGACCACTAAAGAGCCAGATCAACATGTGATTTCACTAAAGCACAAGTTCTCCAACTGATGCAGCTGCTGGCCCTCAGAATGACGCACATGAGTCACATCTGGTGACTCTACAGGCGTTCATATTTTTTATCTGTCAGGATATTTGTTATCATCAGTTAATCTTTAAATTATTTTTTGTAAATAGCCTGTGAAAGGTTTTACTGCTCGTGGCGCTGTTTAATGAGCTGCTCCTCATTTTGTTGGTTGCGAGGTTGAGCAAGAAACGCAGACGTGTGTCAGGAAAGAATTTTATACTGTTAGCCGAATGATCAATGAATACGTATCAATCAGCGTATCACAGACAGTTTGAGAGTGATGCTACAGTTTGTAGCTTGGTGATAATGTGCTGAACATGTTGAGGAGTAATAGCTTTTCGGCCAGCAGGGGGGGCGACTCCTCTGGTTGCAAAAAGAAATCCGGCTCCATTAGAAATAATGGTAAAATGACCCTAATCCTCAGCTCATTTATTACCTCAGTAAACACATATTAATGAGTTTATAGTCTGTCGCTGGTTTCAAGTCTTCTGCAGTGCAACATGATATTGATTTAGTAATCTATGGTCCCATTTAGAGGAAAATAGACCATAAAGCAAAGTATGCTTCAGGGTGGGATTATCTATTATTGACAAGCCGTTACCATGGACTCGTACCCACGGCACTGTGTAAATTTAACCGGTGCCGTTGGAAAAAGGAGTCAGCTGTTCACATTCCCTGTTGAATACATTTAGTTTTAAGACTGTTGTTCACTAAACAAAGTTGTGAGTCCTGTTAAAATGACAGTGAATTAACGTGAATTACAGATGCACCTAGCTAAGCAAGCTTGCTAGCTCCACACACAGCCGTTAGCTCCACCGTCTCGTCCAAATATGGTCACGTCCGGTGCCGCTGATTGCAAAAAAATTAACATGGCTGCGGCTTATCGGCCAAACTTCAAACTTAAAAACGGTAGTCCACAAACCAACGGGTGACGTCACGAGAGACGGAGATATAGATCTATAACAACAAATAAGATGTGTTTTTTAAACATAACAAGTCACGTTGGGAGAGAGGAGCCCTGGAAAGTTTTTAAGGGGAAGGAAATGTTTTAAGTTCATGCAGGTGAAAATACTCTTATTATAATATTACTTCTATGCTTTAATTTTTTAAGGGTGCCGCTGAAGACATCAGGGCACCGTCTCCCTCTGCTGGTGAAAGACCCAAATCCTCCACCCCGCCTCTTGCAGCCGCCGCGGCTGCTACTACGAATACTACTACACCCACCAACCCCACCCTTCATGCTTCCAAACCTTCTGCGGCTCCGTCTGCAAACTCCGAATCCAATCCTGTTTGGCTGAGCTCGATCAAGGCTGCAGCATCCAGCCTGCCACCCGCCTGTGGTGCCCCGGCAGCTAAAACAAACACACCGTCTTACGCTGTAGCTTCGGCTACGCCAAGTTCTCCTGCTGCTGCTGCCGCCCCGAACACTAAAGCCTCTGTAACGGGCGGCGCCGCGCCTCACTCTGTCTCACCCTTCCCCTTCCTCACCCCTAATCTCCCCGCTGCTTCATCAACCACAGCTTCCCATGTCCTCCCCTCGTCTTCTCTTCCCCCCTCTTCTTCCTCTCAACATGGCACCTCCACTTCTTCCTCTCTTCCTCCTAAATCATCTGCCTCGCCTCCTGCTTCTTCGCTGCCCCCTCTCACTTTCATCGCTCCCATTGCTCCCTCTCCTGCGGCTGCGCAGGGCTTCCTCTCGACCTCCTCCCTCCCCCGTTCCTCCCCGCCTGTGTCCTCCCTCCCCCACTCCCCCAGTCCTCCGACCTTCTCCTCCTCTTCCACTCCTATCCATCAGGCAGCTCAAGTCCACGAGGCTCCAAAAGTTTCAGCACAAACTCCAAGTAAGAAATCAAATATTTTTTGTTTTTTTTAAAGTGGTGTGAGGTTTCAATTTCTTTAAATCTTTCAAATTCACTTTAAATCACCATTTCTGTCAGTTTTCACGTATACTACGTCAAGCAGTGTCTGGAAGTGCGCTCTGTTTGAATGAGCTGTGGTGGTCTGTTGGTCTGGTATTAAATTTGATTACTGTTCTGAATTCTTTTTTTAAATAACATGCTTTTTAAAAGGCAATTATTTTGTAATAAAAAACCAATATGATAAAGAACAGAACTAATAAATAGTATCAATAAAATCCTAACAATGTAAAATAAATAAATATAAATGGCAGCCTTTATGATGATTTATCACTCATAGTAACAAGTCCATCTCTGGGATGGATCTCTAATTTTGATATTTATAAAGATTAAACATGACAATGAACTTTAATATTGTTATTTTTAACAAAGTTTTGTGTTGGAGTTTGTGTTATTCTAAATTTTGACACCAAGATTAAAAATTTCAAAGCAAATTTATCTCTCTTCCAAATATCGGTCTAATTGGTCAGTATCGGGATCGACCTGGAAAAAAAACATTTTGGTCGATCCCTATTCTTTAGATCAGAAGGCTTCAGGCCACAGGAAAAACATTGGGCATCGGACTACAGGTTGTTTTAGGCATCTGTCTTTCAAACTTAATTACACTTTGGACTGAAGCCTTTTAGTTTGAGGAAAGATGCCGTTTTTTTCTGGTGTCTGAAACCGACAGTTCGATCTGAGGATGTCTGTAAATGTGTACCGACCTCCTGCCACCGCTGCACGCCACGATAGGTTTTGGTTAAATAAAAGGTTTGGTGTCACAGCAGGAATTATTCTGGCTCCTTCATGTGAGACGGTGTTAAGACTCTGTGTACGTACTGGATCTGCTCCGGGTCTGACTCCATGTCTGTTCTTCTTCTTCAGATTGTTTGCCAAACATTGGACCTCAGACCTTCCAGAGCCAGGCCTCGCTGCCCCCGATTCATCCTCAGGTGTGTCTGCCCCAAAACCACGGCCAGATCTCTGTGTCCCAGACCCAAACCCAGACCTCGTTAACCCAGAGTGATAACCAAACTCTGCCTCCTCTGCCCCAAAACCAAATCTTGATGCCCCAGATGCAGACCGAGGCCCATGCCACTCTCCCTCAGTCCTGTCCTCCTCAGATCCAGCACCAACCTCAGTCCCACACTGAAGTGGCCTCTCTGCCACAGACCCAGATCCAGCCGTCTGTCCTACAGACCTCCCTCCCTCAGTCCCAGGCCTCTGTCTCCCACCTCCCGCCCCACTCTCAGGCTCAGTACCTCCCACAGTCCCAGTGTGAGGTGGCCCAGGTCCAGTCCTCTCACCCAGCTCCAGGAGCTTCCTACCCCCACGCCTCAATTCCCGTCTCTGCCTCTGTGCAGCCCCAGCCATCTGCCACCAATCCTCACCTCCATGTCCAACCGGCCCAGCCTCCTCACCCCTCCCAAGTCCCGCATCCCTCCCACACTCTCTCCGCCTCCCCGACCAATCCCTCTCTCCAATCCCAGACCCCCAACACCCAGAATCCAACAGAGGTCCCACTCACTCCCACCCAGCCTCAGCCTGAGTCTCCGGCTCATGTCCCTTCCCAGCAGGCGCACCTTCCTCACCCCCCTCATCATCCCCAGTCTGCACATCCCCCACCCCCCCACCAGTCCATCCCAGGAGCCGTCCCCCTGCAGCAGTTGTCCCAGCTCTACCAGGACCCCCTGTACCCCGGATTCCCCCAGGGGGAGAAGGGCGACGTGGCTCCGAATCCACCCTACTCCTCCAGCAAGTCAGGGGACGACCTGCCCCAAGGTGAGCTGGACCAAAGAGATTTCAAAATAACTAGGGCTGCAACTAACGAGTATTTTATTATTAATTTATCTGACCATTGTTTTGTCGATTTGAAAGATTTATTTTAGTTTATCATCACGGAAGAGAAATAAAAGCATGAAAAAGCTGGAAGCAGAGGATTTTCTGCATTTTTGCTTAAAAAATGATTTAAATGTTTTCATTTCAAATTTATGTTGAACAGTGTTTCTAATCGAAGGTGGTTGTCATAGTGATTTACAGAGTGACAGAGGGGGGAGAGAGAGGTTTAAAACACAGAAAGATTATTTGTATTTGATTTAATCGTTTTTTCTAAACAATGTGAAAAAAGTGTGAGAGATGCCATTTTAAAGTTCCCAGAGCGCAAGTTGATGCCTTTTTATATTAACGTGCAATTCAAAAGTATAATAAAAACTGTCCGTCACCAGAGATGTCCAGAGGCAGGATCGTTTATTTACAGCACGTTCTTCAGCTGTCGCAACACACTGTTTTCTAACTCGGGAACCGCACAGCGTCATATGATAAATGTCAGATTGGATTCATTGTTGGTGTTGGCTCACATTCGTTAAATTAAAGAATTTCATGTTTATTTTTGAGATTGTATCTTTTTTATCTGGCAATTTTGACCAAACTGTTGGCTTGATTTGTCTCTGCAGATATCAACATCTTGAGATTTTTCTTCAACCTTGGTGTCAAGGTAAGAAACCAAACGGTGCCTGAGAGCACAGAAACGTGTCAAGATGAAAACGTTTCAGCTCTTTGTTTGTAGAAGGAAAACCCAAAACAAAGCAGCTTCCACTTCAGTGCATCACTTGATGTACAGCCAGAACGTGATGTTTGAGGCTTATGACAATAGAGACATTTGAGAGTTGAAAAAAATCAGATATCTAATGTAAGCACGTAGATAACTTTGTTCGGATTGGACAGATTTTTGAGATGTTTTACAGTGAATTTGTTCAATAAAATAATGGTTTGCGAAATGTGCTCATTCACATTCTAGGAGAGTCGTGCTGGCTGCACGCTACAGCAGCAGGTCGGCAAATAAGTCTGGCATCGGGCCAAATTATTTTCACTTCATTAGATGGCAATTATCATTAATGTGTCATTTATTGTGTGCTTTTTAGCTCAGTCAGTAGTGCACAGGACTCCTGTTTGAAGGGTTGTGGGTTCAATCCCCACTTGCGGTTAGGGTTGGGCGATGTCTACAAAATTTCCATCGTGCAATGTCTACAGTGAAACATCAGCAGTTGCCTTATGTGCATGTGTTCTCGCACAGACTTCACTCGGTGAAAAAATTCGTAGACTGTTAACGTACCAGGTAAAGCAGCATTGAACACACAGGGTGCAGATGTTGGTTTCAGTTGATTGAAAGGCTGCGTCATTAATAAGCCGACGTGCGGCTCACCTGCTGCTGTGATAACGGATTGCGGGTGGACAGAAAAAAAGACGAGTTCTCAGTCTTTTAGGTAACTTTATAAAACGTACTGCTCTGTGTTTACTTGAGGTGTGTGGGGAGAAGAGAATTCTGAGGTGTAACAAAACAATAATAATGTTTGTGGTCATTTAAAACCTACTTTCACAGGATGTTATAATGTGATGTCTGTCAGCCATGGATGATGGCATCGTCTGTCAGCCCAACCCTACAGTTATTTTTCTCCCTTTTCAACAAATTGATTATGAAGAGGTCGTTTTACACGTGTGTGGTTTAGTGTGCGCCTCCCGGCACCCTATGGACGCTTATGTTTGTGTCCGCAGTATCTCCAGGCAGAGGAAATTCCTGCGTTTCTCATGCAGGGGAATCCGACGGCCTTTTCACTCTTTTGAATTTCCTTCAGAACTTTTCAAAGTAAAAGCTCTCAATTAAACATGACATGAAGTATTGCTGCAAAGATGTTCTTGCGCTTTTATTTTGTAGGCACAATCACTTAAAAGAAGGTGATTATGTGAGTAACTTGTTGCTGTCATGACTGAGATCTATTTCAGCACCAGCCGCTAGACGCTAAAGCCGATGATACATAGAGCAACTTTTAGAGCAATCGTGCAGGGCAACGTTGCAGTCAATGGTAATGAGTAAAGAATACTACAGTAATCCCCTTCCCCCACCACTCCACAACCCGCCCTGCACCGCCGCTATGCGTTCAAAACATAGTCGGACTTGCCACTAGCAAGACTGCCCAGCAACATTGCTCAAAAAGTTGCCCCATGTATCATCAGCTTTATAGTAACTTGGCCACGGGCCAGATATTATAGCTTATCTTTGGCCCGCAGGCTGCTTCTTGCTGACCACTGCACCAGAGGATACCTGGGAGGATTTTTGGGTCCGATTTGCTCTTTCTAACAATCACGGAGATGGCGGTTTCTGATTTGAGGCTGGTTGAAACAGATTATTGACCCAAATGATCCTGTTGTGTGAGGAGTTTCACCGACTGGATTGGAGGTTCCCTGATTTTAAATCGCGGTGCCTCTGATCAGTAACCTGCAACAGCGAATGAGAGCAAGCTGACCGGGAAGCGTCACCAATGTGTTGTGTATTTGCCAGACACAGGTGCAAATCGCTGATGACCACTGTCACGTTTGATGATGTGAATTCCTGTGAGATCCCAAGTTCCTGGAACCGCCAGTATGTGGTCCTGGGTTTTGACTGAACCGTCTGGTGTGTGCGTTGTTAGGATTAAAATATTAAAATCCGGTTTATTCTGTCGTTATGTCTGTGGTAGGCTGTGTTTCTAAAATTGAAAATCCTCTAGTGTGCACCAGGTGTTAGACGGATCCTTTTCTCATGTCTGTACTTAGTGTGAAGCTAGCAGCTAGCTAACTGACATTGACCCTGCTCTCTTCTCTCCAGGCCTACTCCATGCCCTTGTACCCCCCTTACATATACCTCCTGCCCCTCCAGCAGGCCCACACAGTTCACCCCAAGCTCCCCTCCCGCTCGCCCTCCCCTACCCCCCCCTACCCTCCCTCCAACCCCCCTACCAGGCACCAGGAGGCGTACCAACACCCCCATTACCCTCCGACTTCAGCATCAATGGCGCCTCAGTACGACCACCAAGCCCCACTCACCGAGCCCCCCCATCCCAGTGACCCCTCCTTCAGCCAGGCCGGGTACCCCGTCACCCAGCCTCCGCCCCACAGGATGTCGCTGTCATGGCAACAGCACCAGATGCCCCAACATAGAAGCCCAAGCTACCCAGTCGGGTATCCCGCCTCAAATCAACCATATTCGGTCCCCCAACCCTTGTCTCAGGGCTACCACCCAGGTCAAAGCCCGGGACACACGCTGTACCCTCAGAGCGTGCCTCCGTACCCCCCCCCTCCTCGCTGGGATATCACTCTTCATCCACCCCTGAAGAGATTCAGGTGAGCCAGGCGCCAATGGAGCACCGTCAGCCCGCCAACGGGGACACAATGCCTGGCCAAGGGCCCGGCCGAGTCCCTGGTCCTCTGGAAAGTCCTGCTGCTAACATGGCTAATGCTAACAATAGAACAGCGATGGTACCTGGTTTTGGTACGTACAACGTTTTTATTATACAAGTCAAAGTAAAATCACCAAGGATTTCTGGGCAATGAACACCTTACATGTCAAGCTGTTTTTTGCCACCAGGGGGAGCCAAACTACCAAATGTCTCAGCGAGTCCCTCTAACAGGACGTTTTTCTTTCCCAGCAGCCCTGAAGAAGGAGCAGGGAGAGAGTCTGTCCGGAACAGTGCTGCTGGTGGACCCGCCACTCAACAACAACCCCATAGTACGACACACACACACGCGATGTATTCACCACAGCTTTGGAGAATCACAGGGATCAAATGCCCAATACATAAAATGTTTTAGGACTAAGTGTTGTAGTAAGAGTAACAGTCATAGAAATAGAAGTGTGGTAGGAGGAATGTTTATGAAATTAGTATTATTATGGTGAATTAGTACTAACATTAATACCATTGCTGTACGATCTACTAGTTTTTACAGTGGTTGTCTTTATTATGTTAGTGTTAGTAATGGCAGTTTTAATGGTATTTAACAGGAGTAGTATTTACAGTCCCGCGACCATGTATGCAGGATAAGTGTTTGACGATAGATGGATGGAGTATTTACAGTGGTATATTATTAGTAATAGTAGCAGCACTTCTTAAAGCAGTGGTATTAACAGTAGTACTTGTAGTTCTTACTGTGAATTCAGACCAAACGCGAATTTAATCCTCTCAATGCTTCTCTTGCAGGGGTTTTATTGCTGGGCAACTGCCAAGTGTTGTATGAACCCAAAGTAAACATTTTGCTGTCATTAAATGGCAATAAACGGATTGAACTGATGCTGAAATAACTACAGTATGATGCAGATTTGTTAAACATATGAATTCATGCTTTTTCAGGTCTGTCAGCAGGACAACAATTTTTAAAATGTTTGTTTTCTGAATGGAGTTTGGATCGATCAGGGCTATGCTATGCTAACTTGTTCACAGTAAAGTACAACGATGGCTGGAATAAGCTTACATACACATGTTTTCTGAACTCAGCAGGTAGTTCAACCTCTTCGCTTTCTTTTTTCCCAGCAATGTCCAGTTTTGTCCGGTTTGTACATAAATATGAAGTCGTAGTCCAACAGAACTGTACGTGCCAAACGACGCTAACAACAATAGTGGAACTGGATGTGCACTAGCTGCTGAGAAGCGTGAGTGAAGATAAATCAACGTTGTAATCCCAAAAACTAAATCTAATTTAATAAAAGCAGTTTACTTGGAGCTCCTAAAGCGAGTAAACGGCGTAGTTGTCGGAGCAGAATCCAGACCGACTACAGGTGTTTATTTGTCCAAAAGCTGCAGCGCTGCTCCCGGCTCTGTTACACTTCTTCGTACTTGAGCAGCTCTCTGTCGGCCAGCGGCGTTTCAATTCCCGGCTCTGCCTGGTCCTCTCCACACAACGCTCTGAAGCAGTCGGTGACGTACTGACAATTTTAACACTGATAGGCTATTGCGACTCAGCTTCATGCTACTTTCTTGCTGGTTTGAAAATTTTTTAACCCATGCGAAGGCTTTTGCTTCGCCCCCTCTGCACCACCCGACAGAGAATCGCGTCTGTCCGCGTCTTTGCATTGACATTTTATGTAAATGCTCCGCCCCCAACGCTCACTTCGCTTTTGGTCTGAAAGCACCATTACAGTGGTATTTTTTTACAGAAGTAGTTTTTACAGTGGTATTAATAGTAGTAGTAGTTGTATTTGTTGTTGTATTAAATCATAATAAAACATCTCTCTCTCGTTTTCAGCTGGTTTCAAACCATACCATCAAGGATGTCTCCGCCTCCATGACCTCCATGAAGCCCGGCAGCACGCCCGGCTCTCCTTTACCTTATGACCTTATCTCAAAGACGGCCGTCTCCGGTGACGCCAACCCCTCCCGTGGCTATCGAAACCACCGAAAACCGATGAACCCCCCCCAACCAGTACGTGCCACTGGGGTCACCGGAGCCCAGCCAGGTGAGCTACCTGTCGCCCGTGGGCATGGCGGAGCCCCTGTTGTCTGTCGGTTGCAGCACAGAGGACGACTGGGAGGAGCCGATGGGATTCAAACCGCCGGCCTTGAACCCCAGAGGGATGAGGAGGAGCCACAGAGGAGCGGGAGGGAGAGGGAGGGGAGGCTACGATCAAGGGAGGGGGGCAAACAGGAGGAGAGATGGAGGTGAGCCAGGGGTGGGGCCTAACTATGTCCAATTTAACAGGGGGCGGGGCCGTGAGAGAAGATACTAGTTCTCAGCCAATGAGATGAAAGGACACAGGAAGGTGTTTTATTTTTTTCTTTTCTTTGGTTTCTCCTCTTTCTGCCTGCCTCTTTTTGTTTTTCTCTCACCAATCATTTCTCGTCACCATCTGGATCATCTGATTGATTCCACACATTGAAAATGGATGCCAGAACCAATCGGGATCGATCAGTCGTCTCCACACACACATCGTCGGGGTAAAACCTGAGACTCCATTTGTGTATTTAGATGCGTTAAGATGCTCCAAGCTCGTTGCGGAAACACGAACACTATCTGATGTTCTTTCTTCATCATTAGCTAGCTCATTAGCGTAGCATGTCAGCAAGTGCAAGTATACATCTCGTCGTGCATTTCTCAGCAGTTAAACCACAAACACACGATGGATTTAAAGATTCAAGCGTAAGGTGTGTTTTGAGCACTACGAAACATGTTCAGTGTAGAGCTGCGTTGAGTTTGCCGCCATGTTGATGTGACGTTTGGGGAGAAAATAACTTAAGAGCTTGAGTTTTATACTTTGCATTTGTCTTTATAGGAATAGTTGGGACATTTTGGGAAATTTCTTGCCAAGAGAAAATTGATTTCACTCAAATTTCAGTATGCTACATGTGTAGCTATGGCTGCTTAGCATAAAGACTGTAAACGATAGGAAACGTCTAGCTTGGCTTTGTAACAGACTCCATCTCTAAACCACAAACTTTAGTATAAAACCAACAGTTTGTGGTTTTACTGGGCGTTATGTGCCAGCTCTTCCCCCTGTTTCCAGATTTTGTGCTATGCTAAGCTAACCATTTTCTAGCTATAGCTTCATATTTAATGCATAAACATCAGAGCGGTATCAATCTTCTCATCTAGCAATACTTCAAATAAAAATGTAGAAGTGTTCATTTAACCGGACGTCAAATTTCAGACACTCTAGTGTCTCTTGAACGCAGCATTACTGAGAGCTTAGCATGTCCATAAAGCATCAGACATTTAAACATATTTTGAGCGAGCTTTCAGAGTTGTGCTGCTGCAGCCGCTGCCATAAAACTACAGCAATATTTAAAGGACGCTGGTTTGTGTGTGGACTAAATGTTCGTCTGTCCTGTTGCCCTGCGAGTCTCGTGTCCTTTTCCTGTTGTAAAATTGTCTCGTTTTTCTTCTTGCTGGGTTAATTTTTCTTTCTCTCATCGACTCGGAAAAACACTTAGAGATTCAGTGCCTTACGTTTGCTACTTTTTACTGCCTCATTTCTTTTTCTTCTTAGTTTGAGATGCACTGCTGTACAGAACAATTGCTGTTATTGTTTGTGTTGGATTTTTCTATGTGGTTGAATAAATAAAACTTTGGTTCCGACGCTGCTGCTTTTGTAGCCGGTTCATTCTGGTTAAATCAGAACATCCAGCTGGACGACGTTCATCTTGTATTATTACTTATTATTGTTGCTGGGCAATCTTGCTAGTGGCAATAATAATATTATTGTATTATTACAAATTTGACTTAAACATAAATCCAGTACCATTATTTTGAAGGTTTTCCCACAATCATGACTCTTCTAAGCATCAGGACTAAATATTTAGTTGTAAAGGTTTTAATCTGATCGTTTGAGATTCAGTTCTCCAAACCCAGCTGAAAAAGAATGATCTTGTGTATCTTGTACAAGACAAAACATGTATATTGTGTATGTAAAAAACTTAAAATAGATGGAAAAACCAGGGGTGGAAGCAGTACTCTGATCAAAAATACGGTGTAAAAAATACTTAGTTACAAGTAAAAGAATTCAAACTATTACTAAAGTATTATCATTAAAATAAAACTATGCTCATTTCAGAATATTATTGGATTAGTTATTGATGTGTTTGTCTCTTTAATGTTGCAGCGGGTAAAGGTGAAGCTCATTTTGACTTACTACTTGTACTGCCGTGTGGCTCGAATTTCCCACGTGGAGACGAGTAGCTTTATTAATTATATTTTAAAATATATATTTTAGAGCTGGGCGATACGGACAAATGTTATCACGTTAAAAAATTTCACATCATTCAGTACGATAAATGTCAAGTCATTGTTTCTTTCAATTTTAAAGGCAGATTTTTTCTTCTGAGGTAAAGTTGAAGAAACCAGATGGTTAATTGTGGTGTTGAACTTTTCTTCATGGTCAGAACAAACACTTGATGCCAAACAGTAGATTACTTTACAAAATGCGAGGTGGATCATTCAAAGAAATGATGATCAAACCTTTTCTCACTCCCTTTTTACCTCAACAAATCTTACTAGAAAAATGAAGTATTAATTTGTTTGTGATTAAAATATAATTAAATCAAACACATTGAACATTTGTTATGTTAGTGAGGAATATTAACACGATAATTGTTTTATTGCCCAGCCCTAATGATATTTAGTATTAATCTGAATCTGCAGTGAAAATGAAATAATTGTAATTAGGAAGGCGAATGAGAAGCAGCTCATTTGTATTTAGCCTCAGCTGTTCTTGTTTAACATTAAAGTACTTGTTTAGCAACTGTACCAAAACAATTTCCGCTCGAATCAAAGTATTTGATTCTGATTAATGCATCAATACTTACAAATAATATTCTGAAATACATTCTGCATGAGTACTTCTTCTACCACAAGTGAATGTTAGTACGTTGTAGAAATGGTCATCCTGTGAGCTTCAGAGGGCTGCTGTACTGGTGTGTTTACGCAATATTTCAACATTAGCTGCTACTACAATCACTCAAGACAGGAAATGAAGGGAAACAGTTCTTGGATCAGGTGGCATCAGTTTATTTTCATTTGTTGTAAATGCATGAGTGTTAAAATATGCTGCTTAATGTTCCACAATGTCGCTGGCTCGTGAATTCAGCCCAGTATGTTCAGGCTGACTGACACAGAATGCAATGCACTTTTAATTTTTAAACGTTTCACAACATTGCTGGCTATTGAATGCAGCCCACAGTACATAGAGGCTGATGGGTTATTTTCTTTCATATGATTTAAACATATCTGCTGTTGAACGCAGCCTGGTTGTACTTGTAAATGTCAAGGCTGCAATCCGACTTTGAACGTAACCTCCTCGCATGGGGCGTCGCAGTTGGTCACACAAGAAGTCATCTTAGTCGTCCAGGAAGAAATAGTTCCCGCTCTTCTTCTGTTCTGTGTCCTGGTAGAAAGAGAGGGCAGTGTGTCTCTTTAAATACAACTTTATTGGTAAGCTGAGGCAGTGATGACGACAATGCTAGGACGTAAACACTACAGGTCATCAGAAGACAGTACTAATACAACATCACCACCAATGTTACTCAAAGAGAGCAAACATTCAAGATGCCCACAGAAAAGCTCATTACTGCAACTAACTGGTTTTGAACTTTATCTTTTAAATTTTTTTTATGCTCCAAAGGGTAAGTTTGGTATTTTTCAACCATGTTTTTGTGTCTGTCACTAATTGGGACGACATTAATTGAAACTGGTCCAGTTTTGAGCGAGTGCGGCAGCAGGTAGCAACAATATCCTTGAGGGAAATTGTGCCCTGTCAAAGAACATCCACTGAAGTCGACACTGACAGGCTCAGATTGTTATTAAAAGTCTGTAATTATGGAAAGGATTCCCACAAAGAGTAAGAGTAAGTTGCTATATTGCCAGACTCACTTGACAAAAATAGTAATTTCACTTCTCTGGTCTACCTACTAGATTGTTTAGTTATTGAGTGACTTTGGTATTTTAAAAGGGTTAAAAGCACCAAAGGGCCTAATTGACCCTTCTTTAAGCCACGCCCCCGTAGTTACTGTTGCTATGTCAGACAAACTGACCTTTATCACGGTGCTGCCACTGTTTATTACTGCGATCTCTGAAAGAAGCAGACAGTTCTGCAGTTGCATTTGAAGGTTGCATTCAGGCTGTCAAACTGACGTGAAAAAACAAAGACAGAAGCTAAAGCCTTACCGATCACAGAGTAACTTAAAGGTGAACCAGCGCATTACCCGACTAGTGAGGAAGAGGACAACGAAATTAAGGATCAACAGTGTTCCTGTACAGCTCTATTCACCATCACTAGAGCGTTATAACGTTACATTCAGTAGCAACAATCCACAGCTGACATTTTTCTGGAGAATAAATCGTACTTCTCCTTTCAGCCTCTCTGGGTAGCGACTGTAACTATTACAAGTGCCCCAGGAACAGCGTTTTGGAAAAATATGAAAAAAGAAAGCTAGAAAACGACTCCTTGTGCTTACGAGCCAATGAAGCACAGCCTTAAAAGTGTCGGACCTCAGTTAGAGAGAGTTCTATACTGTGATTGGCCTGCTGCGTATTTGGGGCGTGGCTTAGCGAAGGGTCAATTGCCCACAAGGACCATGTTTTCTGCTGCCGGCTGCAACGCTCTCGCTTAAATACTGGACCAAAAAATCTTGTTCTAGTTAGTCACAAAGACAGAAAAACTTTGGGAAATAAGGTTGGAAAATACAGAAGTTAACTGTTAACAACAATACACAGCTGTGTTTAACGTCAGCGGACCAGACGGGGTGTTTGTACCTTGATGGAGTTGAGCTTGTTGATGCGCGGCCTGAAGTTGTTCGGGTCTCTTCTGAACGTGATTTCCAACAGGGAGAGAAACCGGTTCATTCCGGCTAACAGACTCTGAGGACTGAGATGAAATTCAGTCGTCAGCATCACAGCGAGCGTTCGAGTTCATGTTGTGCGTGTTTTAAAAGAAAACCTTACGTGTTAGCCATGGTCTTCTTGGAGGGAATACCGTCGAACACGATGACTCTGTCAGCCAGGTAGGTCGCCATGATGAAGTCGTGTTCCACCACAAACGCCGTCTTCTTCGCATGGAGGATGTACCTGCACAGAAACGCACACCGGAGTCAGGCAGGCAGCAGGTGGGGAAGAGCAAGGACAGAGGAGAAGAGAGTGAGGAGGTGTGGAGCTGGAGGAAAGTATTAAAGGAGTGAGGGAAAGGTGAAGGGGAAACGGTAGGGAGTAAATAAAAGTGTTGGCGACCTCTTGATGACCCTGGCGGCCATCAATCTCTGCTCAGAGTCCAGGTAGGCCGAAGGTTCATCAATCAGGTAAACATCAGCTGGTTTTCCCAGACACAGAGTGAGAGCGACTCTCTGCAGCTCACCACCAGACAAGTTCTGCACCTGAGGGGGCAGGAGGGGGGTCAGTCAGTCACTCTGTCCTCGTTACGTCTCCGACAGACAGGAAGTGTCTTCAGCTGTAACGAGCTGTAACCAGCTTCAGAGTTTTCAAATGACAAAAATGATCTCAATACAGAATAAAGCATCAGATCAGATGAAGCGGATGCATTTCCAGGAGATTTTGTGCCGACATAAAATAAAAGCCTCCCCAGTAAAAAAAAACAGTGAAATAACATTAATTGGTGACTATTAAATTTCTGTTATTGTGACATCTCTAGTTTGTTGTTCAGGAACTATTACAAGCACCAACATTCATGTGGATGGATAAACACAGTAATTACGACGGCACTTGAAGGCACCACCAGTGACTGACAGCTGAGTCTGTGGTTGCTTAGCAGCAGCAAAACAGCACTCATCTAAATAAAGTGTTCAAACTTCACAGCCGACAGTGAACTTCCTGTGTGATGTGACACCGGACAGCTCGTGAAAGAGACTGGAGATGAGTGTGTATGTGTGTGTCTTACATCCTGGTCTATGATGCTCTCTATCTGCATCGGCTTCATGACGTCGGTGATGAACTGCGGGTGGGTGTAGGCATCTCTGATCTTCTCGTGCAGCAGAGCGCGGACGCTTCCCTGCAGACACACAAACACAAACAAACACTCTTCGTGTCTTCAAAATATTCACATGGCCGTCACATTAAGAGTTTGAAGCTCTTTGATGGACTGAACTCACATCAGTGACGCACAGAGAAAACTAGAGCTGCAACAAGGAATTAATCTGCCAACAAATTTGATACTCTTATTTATTTAAGCAAATTTTATTTTAGAAGAAATTACAAAGAACTCCCATTATAACCTCTCAATTGTGAATATTTTCTGATAGTAATCTCTTTCAAGACACCACATCAGACTTAAGTTTTTAATTTGCTGTCGTTTGACCATAAATTAATTAATCTGTTAACAGAGAAGATAATCACTTTTCGCAGCCTTACACAAAATATTTCTTCGTGTTTCCAATCATACATCAGCCTGCTCTCAGCATAAGCTGCTTTTCATACAGAAGAATTCAAGAAAACTGCACTGACGACTGACTGTGCAGAAAAACTGCGAGGGAACTCTGGTTGCTGACTTTAAAAAACAGCAGAATGAACCTTTAATAGTCAGCCTGCTGGTACAAACTGAAAAACATCGTTTTACTGACTGACCTTGAACTTGGG